GGTTAATAATAAAAATTGAGAACAAAGCACAGAGAACAAGATAAAGTGGATCCTAATTATGCTTTCTATCTACCTACCTATCTAGAGAAAGAGAGGGATGGAGAGGAGAGAGAGAGAGAGGGAGAGGAGAGAGAGAGAGAGAGAGAGGAGAGAGAGAGAGAGAGAGAGAGAGAGAGAGAGAAAGAGAGAGAGAGAAAAAGGGCAGTTAATGGCAACAAGTTAATACTGAAATGCATGAGAAAGAAAACGCAACTTAGGCTATATCAACAAGATTAGATTTTATGTCTTTTAAATGAGATAAGGACGAAATAAAGAAAACATTTCAAACGTTTCATTTTATTTCTCCGGTTCTAATTTAATTAATTATTACAAAATCCTTTGCGAACAAAAAAAGAAAGAATACAATGAAAAATGTGTCGATAATTTTAAAAGAGTAAAGGATATAAAAGAATTCTGGGAAACAGTTAGGAACTTGACTAGCAAATCTTATATCTTCGATAGAAATATTCCAATGCAAGAATGGGTCGAACACTTTTCAAGATTATTTAATCCACTGTCATCCAGAGTCAGAGTAAGCCTTGCTGAACCAATGGTCGAAAACGAAAGATTAGACGACGCTCCCTTTACTGAGGGGGACTTGCATAGAGTATTACAACGCTTGAAAGATAATAAAGCTCCAGGTATTGACCGAATTAGCTACGAAATTTATAAAAACGCCCCTAAACCACTACTTTCAAAACTTCTAGATTTATTTAACTCGATATATTTTTCAGACCAGGTGCCTGATAGCTTTAAACATTCAGTTATCTTCCCAATTTATAAAAAGGAGACGCGGCCAATGTCACTAATTATAGAGGTCTGACTTTCGGAAATACCATTGGGAAAATCTTCTGTAGCATGCTCATGGATAGACTGACAGACTGGACAGAGCAAAATGGGATACTCAAAGAATTCCAAGCGGGGTTCCGGAAATATTACTTGACTGTAGACAATATATTCAATTTAACAAGCATAATAAACATTAAAATAAGCACTAAACGTGGCAAAGTCTTTGCATTTTTTGTGGATTTTTCAGCGGCATTCGATCGAATAGATAGACGGGCCCTCTTCCATAAACTTAGGTTAATGGACGTTTCGTCTAAAATAGTCAGAATCCTCAGAGGCCTATATNCATAGCTTATACTATTTATATATACATGTGCGTACTCCCCTGACGGTCTTGTGACCATGGGAAAAGCCTGCTTAAACATATATATCCAGATTGAACTGCATATTGTCAAAAATTATAAATAAAGGCAATTTATTATTATTATTTTATTATTAATTATATTATTAAAATCTAATTCTAAGCTCCTTGCGCCCACTGGAAAGCACTCTCGGGCACAATATTATTGTATGTATCACCAGAAAAATTTTCATCGAAATATATAATCCTACATCCGCCACCCCTTTCCCTTATGTGGTAAAAAATTATCTAGGCCATCAAAATGCCTTTGAATGATTGAGTGCCTTGCAGAGCTGAAATCTTATTGTCAATTCGGCAAAACGTTCAAAAAAGTGAGTACCTCGCGTCTACAGAATTGAACGATTTGAACCAGAACACATTGGGAAATTTTAGAAAGTCTGTAAGCAAGATATGAGAGTGTTTAAAAAAACATATAGTTGAGTATAATATTCGGAAAATAAAAAATTTAATCATTTAATTTTAATACTTTTGTCATTATTTTTTGTCAAAATAACTTGATAGAAAAACTTTACAAAATAGAATATTCAGTCAAGACATTCTTTGAAGTTTGACATGTTTAAAATTCGTTAAAATATCGTTAATCCGGATTCTCTTATAAACAAATTTCTACATCTTCAGCCTTGTATCATATCTTTTTGTCAGAGTTTGATCTTCAGAAACCGGAATTAGGGATTGGGTTCATTTTTACCGTATAAACGAGGGAGGAAAAAACCAGCCCCCTCAGGTAGAAATGGGTCTTGTCCGTGGGAAAACGGAACTGAGAACCCTTGGGATTGATATGCTGTGAGAAAACGAATAGGTGATTTTCAAAATAATCGTTAACAGGGTTTGTCCCGAATCGGTGTTGACTTTTTCTACTCTGAATCCCTCGGACCGATCTGACGGAAGACTTTCCCACGGTTTGGAACGGATTCGAAACGATTTCTGGGAATCGATTGGTTGATTAGAATTAAAGTATGACTGCTGCACTGGAGAAAAAAACAGGGATGAAAGGCATTTTAAGTCAGAAGGTGCCGTCATTACACCTTTACCTTCTCAGAGGTAAAGAAGAAAACAAAGATAATTTTAAAAAGTGGTTCTTACAAATTTCTATGTTAATTTATTATCACTACATTTGTTAACACAAATTAAAATACATTTCAATGGATATAATTTGAACTGATGGCAACCAATAAACACAGCTTTTTATATTTTATATGAGAGAAACAAAAACAAATAAAAAATGAAAGTTGGTAGCTTTGGGACATTCAACGTTGAGTGCGATCAGTTCTTTGTGTATTGTGTGCCCGAGAGTGCTTTCCAGTGGGCGCAAGGAGCTTAGAATTAGATTTTAATAATATAATTAATTAAATTAGAACCGGAGAGATAAAATAAAATGTTTGAAATGTTTCATTTATTTCGTCCTTATCTCATTTATAAGACATAAAATCTAATCTTGTTTTTTAGTATTTCTTGTGTTTTTGCATAAGATTTTTTTTCAAAAGCTTATTTTTCTGTTAATCTTAGCGGTTGTATTTAACAAAGAAATTCACTAATTTTGTGGTCCGCTTGACCAATTAAATCATTACAATTAATTAAGGTTTTTTAGTTGAGATGAAAAAAAGTTAATGGCACGAGCGGGATTCGAACCGACGAACTTCGGCTAGATACGCCGCTGCTCTACCACTTGAGCTATTTTTTTTCAAATTTTTTTTTCATCTCAACTAAAAACCTTAATTAATTGTAATGATTTAATTGGTCAAGCGGACCACGAAATTAGTGAATTTAAAGAATTAATATGAAGTACACTTCACTAAAGCTCTCCGTGGCCATTTCAATTGTCGTCGAGAATCCAAACCGATTACACGACATTTGAAAAATGGCAAAAAGGAGGGAAAATTCAAAAGGTGCGGTTGAGATGGGAAGTTAGTGTCACGATAGCTCAAGTGGTAGAGTAGGTGGGTTCGAATCCCGCTCGTGCCATTAACATTTTTTCATCTCAACTAAAAACCTTAATTAATTGTAATTAAGAAAGAAAGGCATAAATTAAAGACTACACTAATTCAAAGTGTTCAAAAATCGAATGGCTATTTTTCTACCTCCTCACAGACATGTCCCAAAAAGTCTAAGGTTTCAAATATTTTATCTCTTTCAGCTGTTATATATGCTTTTTATCTAAGGTCTTGGATTATTATTATTATTATTATTATTATTTTTACTTGAGGCCTGCAGCGTGATCAACCTGCAGTTTGGCTCTCCTTTCATCCTAGGTGAAGACAAAAAAATCATCTCTATATAAGCCTAGTTGCAAGCGGATTGAACGGCTACCATCATCCAGGGCACTATTTTCACGTTTTGTTTTCATTGCCAAGACTCACATGGAAAAAATTTAGTTAGGTGTTTAATTGAATTTCTCCAACCACTAGTTTATTTTTGGCTATGCTTTTTAGGAATCAGGTGCTAGCCCCTCTTCTGATACTTTTGGGTTTGCCCCAAATCAATTTTTCATATGTGCTTGGGTTCTTCTGCTTTCTTGCAGGATTTACAGTCGTGTGATTACTGGCAATCTTTCTCAGTTACCCATTTGGTTTGTAGAGCCACTCAACAACCTCAGATTTGAATTTTCTTCTTTAAAAGATTCCTTTTAATTAATACAATAAGAGACGGAGATTAAAGCATCGAACCGAATTCCAAAAAGCCAGAGAAAGAACTAGTTCTATTAGAAGAATAGAATATGAGAACACCGTCGTCCAAACAAGCTCTAACTTGGCATTAATTGATCATTTAATCAACCCATTTGCTGGCTTGTTAAACAATTTACTTATAAATTGACCACCTGTTGATCACTACCCAGTTATTAATCTAAAGGCTGGACTTACTCAGAGAACTAACTTGTTTATTTACAGATTTATTGAATATGAAATCATTGCTGTAGGTAGATAGAATAAAATGAAATGTTCTGTATTTTAAAAATTGGATCCAGTAAGAGCCAAACTAATAATACCAAAATAAAAGAAAGTTAAATGTTTTAATTATAAATTTAACCTGCCAATAGCAAATGTTTGTTAAGGAAGTTTTAGTCATCAACCATATTTGAATTTTGTAGAAAGCGGGTTTCTTTTGCCCAATGCTCCTCATTTTCGAAAAAAATCTATCTATTATTCCTTGTTATATTATCAAATTATTTTGTTTAAAATGAACCTAAGGTGAAATTAAGTACTCCATGGCTCGAACTTAAGTTTCTTTTCGCCTAGAATGGGTTCATGAGGGACTATCACAATAGTAGAGTCTAAAAGCATAATGAAATTGAATTTATCATTTAAGGGATAGGTGTTCAGTTCGTAACTTCAGTTGGGAATTGAAATCATCTAGTTGTATAGTTACGTTGGACAGGACAAAGGACTAACTCGGCCTACTCTAAACAAAATAATTCTCACGGCTCACGAATAAGATTTATCTATTTTTCTATTATATTCTTTATTATATGACGATTAAGTGTTCTTTATTCGGCGGCGTTCCAAATTTTAGTTTATGTAATAATGTTCGTGCTGAGTTCTTCCCTCCCAGTGCGCTATACCAAGAAATCTTCATCTTACAAAGCGTTGAAACCTTTGCCTTGGAAAAATGACATGAAAGAATCGTATTTTCTTTTTGTCCTTTAGAAACATAAAATGGTTTTTTTTAAGTCGTTCGGCCTGAGAGAACGTGCAGGGACGATTCCCACGGAAGGGTGTCGAGCACCAACCGGATGGGGGTTGTCCGAGCGGGGGGGAAACTTTATAAATATACCCTGACCGAACCCCTCCCATTTTAGTTGCATACACTATTCTGTTCGTCGTGGTCCGTGGTTTCATTCCGTACGGTACGTGTGCGCGAATAGGCAAATATATGTATTCTTCTTCTGCTCTTTTTGATTGTTTTATGTTTCAACCTCTACCATGAATTTGTATGTATTTTTTGGGATTTTTTTTTCAGTGTTAGCAAAGATAATAGATAAAACCCTGAACCTTTGTGTCAAAATTGTGAGTAAACTGCATGCATTTTTAAAAATAATGTGTAGTAAGATTAGCTCAGAAAAATACATCAGACATTCTTATTAATGGCACGGATGTAGTTGTAGATTGCTAAATTATTTTGTAATTTTTGATATAAAGTAGATACATACAATATTCATATTGGGTTTATAACTATACCTAACATCTCTAATAATAATTTAGTGATTTAGTAAATCAGCGGCTTGTAATTCTGTCTTCGGTAGCTGTAGACAAGAAGCTAAGATGCTGGATTATTTTATATTTCTTGGTATTAATTGGATGTATTGTTGATTGGGATAAAAACATATATAAAATGTTAATAATTTAATGCCATACCATTGATTTTCATCAGATTCTTTTTGTATCATGCAGTTTTACTGTAGGCCTAGGTTTTTCCTGAATGATTTCGTTTATGTCAGTATAAGACCTTATAAGGCTTAAGATATATATGCGATATTAATTTCGGGTTTAGAATTACAGGAATTAAATGTGTTGTAAGATTTTTTAGTTTGTTAAATCTAAATCTGGTGTATAAAAATACTCATATATAGTTTGCTACCAATATATAATCTAATTTGTTCCGATGAACATTCGTATTCTTTCTTGTTTAGTTGTTGAAAATGACCTATAATGCTACATTATTTTCTATAATTTGGTATTCAGTTCATATGTGTTCGTTTTTCATATTGGGTTTAGAACAATGGCTAACTTATCTTGTCAGCTTTTTGACTTTGGTTGAAATCAAAAATCTAGGGTATACAATTGTAATAGTTTACTACCAATATATTATCAATTTTTTTCTATGTTTCATCTACATCTAGAATGGATTTACGTTTAAGGTACAGTTTGCGTTTAAGAACTATAGCAAATCTATCTTGTTTGACTTATCAGTTCTTTAAATATGGTTAAGGCCAAAATTTTGTTGTATAAAATTTTAAAAATTTACTGTCATATTTTTTATTTTCACCAAATAAACATTCCATTTGTTTCTCGTTGTTGTACATTATTATATTTCTTCTAATGAACATTCGTATTCTGTTGTGGGTAGTTGTAGCTGTAGACCTTGGTGTTGGCTGATTTTGATCTAAAACTTTATTCGACGTTCGTATTGAGTTTAGGTTTATAGTTAACTGTTGCTGTTGAAATGCCTTGTCACCATAAAATAGATTATATATTTGATATTGATAATGTATTTAGATATAATGAGGATGCATGTTCGATATTGATGTTGGGGTTTGTGCTATAGCAAGTGTTTTTGTCGAAATGACTTGTCAGATGTTTGAATTTGGAGAAAACAGAAAATCTTGGATATAAAAGTTCTAATAGTTTATTATCATTATAATATCGAATTTCTTCTGATAAAAATTTACATTTTGTTTCCTGTCGTTGTAGCTGTAGACCTAGGTGTTTGGCGGATTGTTTTATGCACCTCAGAATAAGCTAGAATATCCGATATTCATATTGCGCTTAAATTATGGATTATTTTGTTTATATTGGTATAAAATGGATGTATGCTCGATATTCATATTGGGGTTTGAACTTGTAGCTAACTTCTTTCTCTTATTGAAGTGACTTGTCAGTATTTTGGGTTTGGTTAAAACAAACAATATATAAAAATGCATATTCTGCCTCGAGTAGCTGTAGACAATGGTCCAGGTTGCTGGATTATTTAGTTTATCTTGATATTAAGTGGATGTGCTGTTAGTTGAGATCAAAATCTGGTGTTGAAACAGAAAATTTTGTTTAGAAACTTATAACCATTTCAAAATTTTGAAGTTCAAGTATTTTGAAATGGGTGTAAGTTCCTGAAAAAACACCTAAAAAGATCTTACAACCAGTGAACAGCCAAGAAGAAAGAAGAGAAGAATAAATAGAAAATTTTGTGTTTAGTTTACTACTATTATATCATTTAATTTCTTCAGATTCCTTTGTATCCTGCAGTTGTAGTTGTACGCCTACGTGTTTGCTTGATAATTTTGATAATGAGGTTTGAAACGGTTCTTCACGGGGCCTTTTACATGCTGCCAAACGATCGTGATTTCGCCTCGAATGGGTGAATGGGCTTTGGATTATACCTAGATGCTTACTTAATCAATGAATTCAACACATCAAATTTGCTATACAGAGTACTCCCTGCAGTACTTAACGATCCCAACGACATCCGCAATCTCGCCTTATAGTCCTCTTTTGAGTTTTTCCACACTACTTTTGTCAAAATTGGCAAGTTATTTTACTACTAGATTGAGAAACAAAGAAAATTTCACATGTTTTTGAAGAATTTTCATGGTTCGGGAAGATAATTGTACCCGTTTTAATAATTGTTTATGTACCGATTGCATAATAAATGAAGTGGCTTATGGGATCCTTATGGATGCAAATAACCTACGACAGAGCACCTTGTTCAGATATATAAGTGAATTTCGCATTTTTATAATTTTTTGTTCTGCCGTTTAGAATTATCAGGTTAAAATCATCCAATAGATTAAGCAATTTTTCGCCATATTTATTCATGACCTTATGCTTTGAACACCTGTCATTATTCTCTATCCCTAAAGTTATTGAATTGTCCGATATCTTTTGTCTCTCACCCACCCTACTGTTAAAATCACCAATGAGACGAAGCTTCAGGTTAGCAGTTGAGTACATGAAATTAGTAAATTATGAATTAATTTGGGTATGTATGGTATAAAGTGAATGTGTGTTCGTTACTAATATTGGATCTAGAACTTGTGAGTTTTTTTAAGTTTGGTTGTAAGGTTTTAGATTTGGTTATAAAATTTTAATATCGGGTTGTCCGGAAAATAATGCAGGATTTTAAGTTTTCATTAAAAAAAATCTATATAAAATATTCTGTTTACGTTTACAGGATTACTCATTTGTATGAATGNTTATTTTGATTAAAGAACATTGCTTTAAAGTAACTAGTTTCTTTTTTTTTGTTTAATACCAAAATCCTGCATTATTTTCCGGACAACCCAATAGTTTGCTACCAATATTTCATTGATTTTCATTAGATAATTTTTTTTTAGTCTTCTACAGTTTTAGACAATTACCTGGTTTGCTAGATAGTTTTGTGTATCATTAATTTTTATTAGATAAGCACTCCTTTTGTCTTCTGTAGTTGTAACTGTAAACTTAGCTAATAGGTTTTTTGTATCTAGGTTTAAAACAGATATTTATTGTATTATCATTGATTTTTATACTATAGAGATTACTTAGTCTTCTGCAGTTTCAGCTGTAGACAGTAACCTACATAGGTTTATGCTGATTTAGTTTGTTTATGTTGGTATAACGTTTGTTGTTTATGTTATGTTGGTAAAACGTGGATGTATGTTATAACGATAGCTAACATGTCTTGTTCAATATTCTAGCATGTTTTGCTAAATGTTTTATCTGATCTTTGTGTTCGGTTGAGACTAATAATGTGACGTATAATGTTCTAATATACAATTTACTGGCAAAATATCATCAAATTTTTCTGATAAGCATTCGTGGTCTCTCTCGTGTACCTGTATCTTAAACAATGATCTTGGTGTTTCATAGATATTTTTTTTTAAATCTTCTAATAAAGGAGATACATATGTTCAACATTCATATTGGCTGTAGAACTTAGAATAGCTGGCTTGTACTTTGGAATTTTGCCTTGTCTGACTGATGGGATTTTTGAAAGTTGAGAACGAAAGTAATGATCAGTGCAATTGTAATAGTTCACTACTAACATTTCATTGATTTTCATCAGATAAACATTTTTTTTTCTCAGCCCCCTACAGTAGTAGACAAGTTTGGTGGATAATTTTGTGTATCATGGTATAAACTAGATATATATTTCATAGTCATCGTGGGTTTAAAAATATAGGTAACTAGCCTCGTTTTGATTACTCATGTCGCTGTTTTAGTTTTAATATTATAATTGTATTCAATTCACTAGTTTCGTGGTCCGCTTGACCAATTAATATCTTACAATTAATTAAGGTTTTCAGTTGAGATAAAAAAGTCAATGGCACGAGCGGGATTCGAACCCACGATCTTCAGCTTGATACGCCGCTACTCTACCACTTGAGCTATCATGAACTCGATCCACTCGGAAACCAACCTCCCATCTCAACCACACCTTTTGAATTTTCCCTCCTTTTTGCCATTTAATAAGTTTAAAATGAAGTATACNAGATCGTGGGTTCGAATCCCGCTCGTGCCATTGACTTTTTATCTCAGCTGAAAACTTTAATTAATTATAATTGTATATAAAAAATCAGACGGGGAATTCAATAAAAAGAAAAAACGTCCAATTTCATTGCCAATCGTTTCAGGGATATATCCTCATCAACAATACTTTGAAATCATTTCAAATGATTTAAACGGGTACAAATATAAACATCTATTTAATAATATTAAAATTATGGCTACAACCATATAACTTAACAGTTTAGCTTAGTAGAATGGACGAGATCAGCCACTCGATTTTCAATAGATATCAATTGGTATTCTGTCTTATGTAGTTGTAGATAAGATATCACGATCTGGGTATTTGATGCATTTTGGTATAAGGTAGTTCGATATTCAAATTAGGGTTAGAACAGATAATTGTTGTGTAGTTGATATTGGGTTGTCCGGAAAATAATGCAGGATTTTGGTATTAAACAAAAAAAAAGAAACTAGTTACTTTAAAGCAATGTTCTTTAATCAAANATTCATACAAATGAGTAATCCTGTAAACGTAAACAGAATATTTTATATAGATTTTTTTTAATGAAAACTTAAAATCCTGCATTATTTTCCGGACAACCCAATAGTTATTAATTTTAGCATACTTTTTCAAATATTCGTAGTATATAAATCCAGTATGAGTAACGGGTTAATTATGAGTTAAAAAAACAAATACTTCATAATATTTGCACTGCCATTTTTGCTCTACAAATGTTCAATTTTTTTTCCAAAAAAGAAGTACCCGGCAAATTTAAATGAGAAGCCACTATCAAGGCAGAGACGACAAACCAATGTTGGCAGACGAAAAGAAAAGTCCAATAAATGTTGCACCACATGAGTTTATTTAGTTTGATTGGAAACGTACTTTGTCTCGATAATGAAATAACTTATTTGTACGACTAACCTCATGGTTATATTATTTTTATCGAATGTTTTATGTCTTCTCATTCATCAGTTAATTACTCAGTCACTTACACAAATCTGTCCAATTTCAAAGGTTTCTTCATTTGTCAATACTTTCAGTTTTTACACACACAAAAAATATACATGCATCTCATTAAACAAACTTACGGTAAGTTTCTGGCTTAGCTTTATGAAGCCTTTTTGCCATGGCGACAAAGTAGTCTTTCCGGTCAACATAGACGGAATCGTTCATGCTGACAGTTTTTCCTAGATCTTTCAACAGGACAGTCATGTATTCGTTCCAATCCAGCTAAAAAATTAAAAAACAACATATTCATACACTACATTAAAAGCAACATGTTTTAAAGTTTACAGTAATATACGGTACACGCAGAGGACCGGGGATGAACTGAGCTGTTCGTCGGCCTAAACATCCCATATTATTATTGTTTCAGCAGTGGTATAATTTTAGTTTCGCAGTTTTATCTGTTGTAATGTTTATTTTTTCTTTTCGATAAACAATTCTTACGAACACACATATTTTTTAATATCTCCTTGTCAAAAAGTGTCACTTCTGTTTAATTTATGCAATATTTACAATATCATAAATTTTTATCCTTGTGTACAAAGGGTGTTGACGTTGGTCCGGATAAAACAGTACGTCAACGCAACTTACCCGCTAATCCTTTTTTCGTTAAGAAGCAAACAGAGAAAGAATTAGCAGAGAATTAATTCTCATTCGATCCTTATCTGTTTTGTTTACAAAATAATAGAACAACAAACCCAAGTAAATATTACGAATAATATATTAGTGAAAATTTTTAATTTCCACGGGAATGTTTTGGTAATGTATGGGTTAAATAATCGTTCAAATATAATAATTGAAATGTAGTCTTAAAATATTTTGATAAACTAAGACTCTAGGTACGTATTCATCATTGGAGCTGGTGACTCCTGCAGGACAATCTCTAGAATTGCCATAAAAAATGAACAAAATCTCTAGACCCTCATTATTCGTAAATAAATATTTTTTGCCGGTAAAAGAAAAAAAAGAGATTCAATTTTGATTTGCATCAGAAAATTAATCAAAAAATTATATAATACATTGGAACAAATACTGAAATTTACCTTTATCTACTGCTTGAATAAAGAATTAATCATAAAATAATACTACATTAAGATTTTAATATATAAAAAAGCTGTCTAATCGTATTTATAATCATAAATGCCATCCTGTATATGTACTTATCTAAGTAAGTAGAAAATAACATTAAGGAATAAGTAATTTTGAAGATTAATGTTAATAAGAAGGTGATGTCAAAGGAATAAACAAAACTTTGCTTAAACAGACCACAATGTCGTGTTTTTTTCTTAAAATATTATTTAATACATAAAGTTTAAGACACCCAAAAAGGTAAGGTTATTAAGGTTATTGACTTACTGGTTAATGATTACAAAAATTTAATCAAATATGCGCGCCACGACTGGCACTATCGCCAAGAGTTAATATTAGAATTTAATTTTTGAATATTTTAATGCCTTGTGATTCTAAATTGCTGGCCCAAATAATTGATATATCTATATTATTGTAAATTAAACGAAGAACAAAAATTATTGTTTATAATGTATGCTAGTAATTATTAAAAATTAAATTATCAATTGTAATATTTATTTATGGATCAATTTTTTTTTAAATTTTTTCTTTTGTACATTTTTCTCTATGTTGACCAAAAATTTAAGTCAAATGAAAATCGACCTCCGGCAGACGGCCCTCCATGCCGTAATTTTACTTTAAATTATATACTATGTAATGTTTATAACTTTTCTTTTTTGCAATATTATTATTATTATTATTATTATTAAGACACCCAAAATATTTTAAAGTCACAACTTAATCTGACATATAATAAAATATCAATATCTGAGTTTATCCAGATCAGGAATTATAGGAATTATTTCCTTGTTTATTCTGTAAAGTTTTTATCAAATTATGCTGTTCATTTATGATTAAATAGCAACAAGTAACTTATTTAAATCGCCAAAGATCAGTCTTACAAATTATTTTTATTTTCGCGTAAGCATTTCGGCCTGTTCTATGGGTCTCATCAGGGCTTTCAGAAGCTAGAATCATACCCCATTATTTAGTTAAGTTTAAATACAAACGTTACTTGAATGTGTTAAGATCGGTAAACGCTAAAGGTAAGCATTTAACCATCCATAAAAATGTTGTCACATGGTACTGTCTAAGAACTACCTTTTTGTTGAGCTGATTGAAGCTTGATAAGAAAAATCTGTGAGATGTTTAGTGTTTATTTCTGGTATTGAGATAAAAACTGTAAAAACTTATTTTGTTTTACATGTTACATGTAATTATAAGTATATACTTATATTTACTTATATTATAAGTATATAACTATAGTCATAAGTTGTGTAAAATGTAATTGATTAATAAATTTTGTTTGACAAAACTAAATCAGTCTATAGTATAACCCTACATAGACCATAATTATATATATAAGTTACGACAACATCTGACCGCATCTTCTGCAACCTTCAACAGAAAGTACCCCGAGTCATCAAAAGCAGAGTAAGCGATATTGGAGGTGCTCGGTAGGATTTGAGCTAAGAGATAAAATTGTGTTATAGTTATACGTTGTGATAAAGTGTATAAAGTTTATATAGGAAAAAATGTGTTTAAGAGTAAGTGAGAGAATGAGTGAGCTTATGTTAAAAGCTACATGGTTGGGGGCTAAAAGAACCTAACTGACAAAAGCGTCTGAGTTGAACTTTGGTTGACAGGATCGACAAGGTACGGCCTGACGACAAGTAAACCTCGGTCTGACCCCGGACTGCCAAGAATGCAAGAACAGGCTGAGTATCAAAACATTTACCTTCATCGACGCTGGCATTGTCAGATTTGTATTATCGGTAAAGTCTTGGAGCTCCGCCAACGTCATTTTCTCAGGAACTCCTTCGAAATACGACCTGGCGATGTCCTGAAACAACCGACCGTTAATTGAAGTATATATTGTGTGATTTGTATCTCACAGACGGTAAGTTTAAGAGGATAAAAATTACTTGATTTCCCCTTCTTAACATACCGCTCTTATTTGTGAATCGAGGACCAAAATTTTCAAAGCCGTTGCCCCGAGGTCTGTTACGTTTGCTGTGGGGTCGATTTCCGCCAACACACCCGTCATGTAGGCGATCCTGAGGGCGATGGCCTCTTTGGCGGAAATGGACACTTTATCCTCGCTGCTAACCAGCTCTGGAAGGCTGGAGACACCGATCGCTGGGCTGACCTGAAAATGCAAAAATTGTTGGTTCAATACATTTTCATCGTGAGGAAGAAAACAATTCGTAGTTGATCGTTGAAACTTTCGCTGTTTCCGAAATCTCCTTCCAATGTAACAAGAGAATTTGATAAATAAACAGCAAACACTATAGTTTGGTCGTTTCTGATTATACTGGCCTGCTTATCCTCGTAGTTTTGGTCTGTTACGTTTCGGCATTTAGCCATCTGAATTTTTTGGCTAGCTATATAAACCGGAAAAGACGACCATAGTGACAATCAAAAACGGTAGGCAATATTATAATAAAATGACAGAGTCGGTGTCTTGCTTCAAAAAGCTTATAACCCTACCATTGAAAATAGCTAATAAAAAGAGTTCCCATGCACTCAAGACACAATAATAACAATAATAATAAAAAGATGCTTTATTTAAGAATATTTACAAATTTACGTAGCAAAAAAAAGACATTATATAAAACTATATACGACTTGGATATTCGTCAGCCGGAGAGTGATACATAGGTTTGCTATAATAATAATTAATAACAAGAATAGAGAAAAAACTAACTTAAGGATAGCGACAATACTATATTATATACAAACATTATATATCTTACCTTTAATTAAATTATATTAAATTGACATTGCATTCAAATATTAAAAAAGAGTTGCGTTCAAATACTGGAAACATATATAGCATAAAAGAATTTATAAAATGATCAACAGAAATATAACATAGAAGGGTCGGTGGCCGCTTAGGCGTTTACACGGCGCTCAGCACTGTTAGGTAAAAGTCCCGGGTTCGAATCTAGAGGCCCTGCTTCGAACTCGACATGCTTACAATGGGCTTTTTTTTCAAAACCACCGGCACCCCGAGTGTTTAGCAGTAGAAAGAAAATGACCGTTACCAAATACGGTAATACCGCTATAGCACATCGGGCCTTATTCACTGGATGAAGAGTATCCGAGAAAATTTTTTCTCCCCAGTAGGATCGTCGAAGCCATCACAGACGTCATGATCGATGAATACGAGCAATCACACAAAAAGATTAATATAACTACAAAGGGTTTGAAAATAAAATATATAATATAGATTTTGTTAGATAAATATTCATTTTGTTATGTTGTGTTGTAATTGATTAAATAAAAATGTGTTATTTGATAATTTATAATTGTTTCATATATTTCCAAGTACCTATATAATATAATGATAAGATTACACAATGAATTGTGATTTTCTATCTACTTTTAGCATTTCTTTTAATTTTGTTTATGTTAAAGAACGGAAGCCTAGGTGTCACATTCTGAATTCTGCTAAGACTAGACATACAGCCAAAAAATTAACTACATCCTCTCTTCCCCCTAAATTACACAATGAACATAGCTCAACCCCCTTTTCAACCCATGGGGTGAAATGTAAATAAAATAATTCACCCCTTATTTTAAATAGCCAACACGTATCCCTCAAGTTAATCGGCAGTTCATTCGTGAATGAAAACGATTTACCTTCAACGTACAGCTGTTTATAGAAGGTGAACCTACTTGATTCTCTAGCGTTCACCAAAGACTCTTTTCAATGTATTATTCTTATCTTTAATATTAAATTTGATAGTTGGTTTTTTCCAGAGAAATGCATCATCTAATGAAGTGCTGAAATCCCAACTGTATTTTTCAAAAAGTTTCAACCAACTCTGAAACAAAAAAGTTAATTTTTACTACTTCAATAGCAAGAACTCTGGTAAGACTGTAGGCTTCCATCTGTAGGAATCCAATCGTTCTCCGCACATTTTTAAATGGAATTTCAACATGAAAACTAACTCGGTCTCTAGATAAAGCATATAGTTTGGGGCAGTGGACAGCAGAGAGAATAGTTTTTAATTTAAAAAAAAACACGCAATGATTGCTCTAACTTATCATACCGAGAAAACCCCCAACCCTAAGCCATATAACAGGCGATTGATCGAAAGATCATATTAAAAAGCTTGAATTTGTGAGAAAGATGCAGTAAATTGTGAGTGACCAGGCTCGACCATATTTTAAATAATTAAGTGCCCTGCACACTCTCACTTGAATGTGAATTTTAAATGAGAGGCGTGGAGTCAGACCGAGTATTTGAATGAATTTGCGATCTCAATCGCCTCATCTCCAAACTCGGATTTTTCAATTGATGATAATCTACCCCTTTTCTAAAAATCATAATTTTTTATTTATTCAGATTAACATTCGAACCTCACTAATCACAGTAATTCTTAATAATGTTAATATTTTCTTGTAATTGAAGGGGCATATAATGTAAAATACAATATCATCAGCATACATTAGTATTTAATAATGATATTAGCAATTCGTATTCCCCCACCAAACAATAAGGTAAATCGTCCAAAAATATAGAGAATTTTAAAGGGCTCAATATGCATCCCTTTCTGACACAGCTGTTTTAGTAAAGAAATCAGAAATTCCAGATTATCCTTTTACAGCTGTCGTCGTTTCTTTATAAATAGATTTTAGTTGAGTAATGAATTTTGACGATATTCCCAAATTAAATAGCTTCAAAAATAACACGTTACGATTAACTGTACCAAAAGCCGCCGAGAAGTCTACAAAAAACACACTTTTTGACCTCCTTGTGGCTTTTTGACCTAAACATTTTGGCAATAACATCAATACAGGAGATTCCCCTATAATTGGACACGTCAATGATGTCACCCCTCTTAAATAAGGGAAATTACGAAGGACCAACTAAATGATGGTGGAGTGAGCCCAAATTGATAAACGTAATTAAAGAAGATGATAAGCTATTAACAAATATTTCAGGTGCATTTTTACAGTAGTGCGATCTCTGTTATTTTTTAAATGTGAAACTTCCAACATTTAATATAAAAGGAGCATGGTATATCATTATAAATCAAGGGGTCAGCACAGTGAACAGTTAAGATATTTGAAGAATGATTATAAAGGCTTCTGAAATGCGATATCCATGCAGACATAGTTGTATTATTCCCTCAGAAAAATCGTTTGTTTTTTAATATATTAAAAATTTTCCATAGTCCTTTAGAGTATTGAACTGGACGACAACGATCTATTAAAAAACTGAAATTTTCTTTCTTTTTTTAAACAAATTATTTTATACTCTCTGTTTGAATAGAAATGCATTTCTTATCAACAGTGAGGTAGGTGCACGAAAGCTGCCACCCGGAGTCTATAAATATATCTCCGGAGCCTGCAGTGTCCAATCAGCAGGCCAACTATTAATCTGGTCCTAGGATTTAATAGCTCTGCCATTAGTTTCTGCGATGGTCCTTTGATCAACTTTTTCACATGCCTCTGTCCCGGACAACATTCCAATTGAGCGGAGGACAATCCATTATCTAATGGAGTCGAGATTTTGGCAGTTTGGTAGGCCACAAAAGGATTCAGGGCCGTTAAGTGTGTTTATCGGCCTTTTCGTTGGCCCTCTGCCCTGTGTGCCATGGCACCCAGACAAGGGTAATTTTTTTATTTTCCTAACAGGGCTAATAAAATTGTTCTTAATAAAATTAGAATGAAAATTGGAAACAGGGCAGGCTATTTTAATAGCGTTAGTAAAAGCATCTAGCCATACTTGAACTTCAGATGGAAAAGTACTTATATTTCTTAAAACAGAATCCAAATTTTGATTTAAAATGGTCTAAAAATTTCATTGATCATGATAACTGAGGTAAAAGTGGTAGTAATAGATCGCTAAAACAAATTCAATAATCAATGTGATGCTCAGGGGTTGATGATCTGAATAATTTACTGGCAATTAAAGAACAACCTTTATTATCGCATATGTGAACTCTCCTTCAATATCCCCTGGAAATCTACCATTTAAAATAATCAAATTAAAATTATCACAAAGCTCAAGAAAATTAATACATCTTCCATCAAGGACCCTGTCTTTAGATCTCCTCAGCCATCTACATCAGAGCACAAGGGTAAGATAGACTAACCATTAATGAATACTCCTATCCCAGAACCCTATGGTGGCTTTGTAATTTGCCAAAAAAATCAGCATTAAAAAGAAAATAATACTTAATGAGCTTAAACGTGGTGGATCACTGCCACCGGGATGAGCCATGCAAAGAGGTTTATAAAGGAACTACATGCAAAATTATCAGAATTATTGGAGGGCAACAGAAATAGGTGGAAGTTAAGTGCGTCTCCTGACAGGATCCCTACATATGCACTGGATGACAGACTGTCAAAAGAAACGTTCAAATCTGAATTATGATGTATGATCCAAGTGTAAATTGCTACTTTCTACCACTAGATGCGGAAAATTTTTTAAATAAAAATATTGAACTATTACAAAAGTAAAAGGGCACAAAATTTAGATTGTGCTGGAAGGGGCTCTATGGTCATTTCACATCCCTATGATCTAAGGTTAAAATTAAAAGGAATCGGCCTGTTTTCGATCTTATGCACTGCGAATAATATTGGTCTATTGCGCTAACTACATTATTGTCTTCTTTAAACTCAAGACGTTTTATGAGACCCAAAGCTTTGTTAAGAGCACCTGTTTTTATTCTTTAGTCCTGGGCGTTTCCTCTACCAGGAGAAGGAAAAGAAGGTGGGCCTGCATTCACACCAACTGATGAGGTTTGTACCAAAATTGGTTTTGTTGTGATGTTTGACCTAGTGGTCAATAGACAACTTTCCAGTCGAAGCCTATTGAATAATAAATTTAATTTAATTTGAACAAGCAATATAAAAACAAAGGCATCACCAAGCAACCATCATACAAACTTGGAGATCATCATTTCAAAGATGGGACTGAATTCAAAGACCATGCTAAAATGATTAGGTAAAATATCACTCTCTACATTGTTCCTTGACAGGCAAAAGTATAGGAAAAGGAAGAAACCTTTATGTTGTAAAAAGAGAACATCTTTAAAAACAAGACTATATGAATGGGCGTCACCCAATGGACTTACTCAATCCAACCAATACTAGATTTAAAAGGAAACTACCGAATGCATCAGAGGAAACAGAAAAAGGCTTCGAATCTTGTAAGGTTTGTGCACGGGATATTACAAACCAATTGGACATTAGCGAACGATTGCCAAACCTAGAAGAAAGTGTTTTGGGACACAGCAGTAGAATAATTAAAGGAAGAGCAAATTTAAACTTTAAAAAACAATGTTTTTCCTTATTGGTTGGATAAGTTCAATTAAACACCTACTACTTTGTTCAGTTTGATCGCCTTGACCAAGTGAGTAATGATGATGAAAATAGGACCGTGGATTATGAAGGTCATACAAGATCAATCCGCTTACAAATATGGTTAAATTGGGATGATTTTTTGTCCTCATCCGTTTATATCCCTGACAAACAACCTAAAATGCCGAAACGCTGACAGCCAAAACCAGCTAGGATAGGCAGGATAAAAGGAAAAATTAAACTGTAGGATTATCACTCCGAAGTAATAATAATAGTTATTATAAGTTAAGGAATTATATTAATTTTTTGGCATTCATTCATAACATTGGGGTTTAAGTATCAATTTGAATAAAATGTGTGGTGTTAAGTCAGTTCTTTTTACAACTGCTATTGTGAATTATTCCATTCTGGTGTGATTTCTTCGGGGTTAAGGGGTTAAGTTCACAGAAATTTATTTTAATTTTTCAGCGAAGCAAAAAAAACAGTATGTTTAAATTACTTCTTTGAGAAGAATAAACATTTGTATTTTTATGTGAAACCTTGCTTTCTCCGAAGGAAATAATATTGAGCTCAGGAATAGCTGGTGCCACAAACACAATGCTACGAAGTAAAAATGACTTGTAAGGGTATGTCATTAGTATTCCTTTATCTTTTTATTAAAATATTTTGTATACCTATATTATTGCATTCTATATTAATCAAAACTAGTTAGACTTAATTTATACCTATCAATTTTCTCATACTTCATTTAAGCCAGGGAAAATTTGGTATTGGGATTTTCAGTAGAACACTAGATAAGCGAAGTGAGTTAGTCATGTGAACGTGATTTTAAACGATGCGAGTCCAAACTTTTCTCTCGGTGATACACGGTCCGGAGTCATGCAATCGCATACGGTTAGTTGTGTAACAATATAACTTGGTCAGACAGTTTGAAGTTCTGTTTACCATGATCATTGTTAAGTTGGTCTCGGGGTCGATGGCCAGCGACAGCTGGATCAGCAGATCCATGCTGACCACACGTTGTATCCTGGCCAAGACGCTGGATATGCTGAACTTCGCGGCTGTCTCTTCGGTGGGCAGCTTCCTAGGCAAGCCGGTACTTTCGATTATATCCATCATCGGGGCAATTCCCAACTCGTCGAGCCTGTCTGTCAATAGAAAATCATTGGAAGAAAATAAAATAAATATTGAAATTTAATGTTTCCAAAACAAATTAATAGTTTTCAGAAATCATGAGATGCGGTCTGGTGTGATGTAAGTTTCAAAAAAACATTTTCTTTATCGTGCCAACGTTTCGATCTTTATTGAGATCATTTTCAGGGCCTGGGATTTACAAACATTGTTTACATTTAACAAATACATTTAGGATGTGGAAAAGTGAATTTATACAATGCAAAATGTATTTTTTATGTATTTTTTTATGTGAAGATGATCTCAATAAAGATCGAAACGTTGGCACGATAAAGAAAATGTTTTTCTGAAACCTACATCACACCAGATAGCATCTCACGATTTCTGAATAATTATCGATTAACGGTCACTAATCACCACACAAATTAATAGCTTGAAAGTTATCTATTCCCTATAAAATCCGGGTCATTTAAAGGTCACTGTACAAATTCTAAACTGATATCTAAGAAATTGAGGTCATGTATTTTACCATTCACTAAATAGGTTACGTCTATTGACAGGGATTTTGATTTTATGCCCGATTGATTTATGAGAAATGATTACAAGGCTCGAAAGGATATAAACTATTTATATTTGTTTATAAACTCGGCCTAGATAAAGTTTATCTCTAATGATTACTGCTTTTCATGATTGAAGTTTTTGGACTATAAACTCGTATAAAAAACAAAAGTACCTGTATCCATGCATGAGTTGAACATCGACTTTGCGTAGGATAAAGCCAAAGGATCTTCAGACGTGCTGTTATCCTGCAGAATACCTGAAAAATAGGATTCATTCATGGCAGGATTAAGTAGTTCTAACTGATGATCTTAACGGTTTCCAAAGCACTTTTAGCAAAATCAAACATAAACGAACATGAGAAAGCAAAGGATGTGGACTTTTTGGGTCAAACTTTTACTGGTCAAAATCCTAAGTCAAAAAATAGTTTTGGCTTTTATCTTTCAGGTATTTTAACGTTATTATTTATCGGGCGATTTGTTATTTTAAGTTGGATAAGAAAATAATGTGTAAGATGTATTAACTAGAATTGTATATATTTGGTGGACTTTAAAACCAAAAGTCCCTTTAAAATGGCCAAAAATGTGTACTTGAAAAATTGGGATTGTTTTATACACCTAGGAAACACTTAAATACAAAATTTTATAGCAATAAAAATGGACATTTTTAGCTGGCTTCGTCGGGGGCAATTTTTCGTCCCAGATATCCGTAGTTCCATTTAACATTTCATAACACCTGTGGGTTTAATCCAAATCAAACGTTTATGCAACCGTTGAAAGCAGACTTATAATTCTTTAAAGCTTCATCAAAAACCTTTGGTTTTTATAAACTTTTTTTGGGTGCAGAAAATGAATAGTACCTTGTTTTCTTTCTAAAAAATATTTTAACATATTTTACTAAATCACGAATTAATCAATCTACCATCGAGAAAATTCGAGCTTTGTTTGATATACAAATACATACTTATTCTTTGACTGAGCAACGTTGAAGATAAATCAATTTTTTTTAATCAAGGAACCAAATTGATGTTCGTTTTCTGACGACAACGACAGCACTAATCTACTGAATACTTAAAACGGTTTAGAACCTTATAAACTAATGCTACAAAAACTACCTTATACATAAATTAGAACTAGAGATAGAGAATAAAACGTTTTAGGTTTTTTGATGATTTCATCTTTAGTTTTCTCACTTAATTATAATGCCGTCAAATTTAAGCATTTTTGACATAATCTAAAGTAAGTGTAGTTCCACTTTCAAACGATTGTAATGTCGTTGATTAGGGATGAAACATAATAACGTTGAATTAGATCAAATTTAGACGTGTCATCATTTGTTAGGTACAACCCTGGACATCAGAGATAATTTCCCCCTGTTATGCCAGCCATTAAATGTCTACATTTTTTCTATCAAAATTCATCAACTCTCAGAGAGTAATTAAGATAGATCAGTATGCATCTAAGTTTGAACAACCAACATTTTATTAGAGCTGCAGAATGGATTATTATTGGTTAGGTCGAAAAATGCCATTGAACGATCGAGTTCCGTGTAGAGCTGAAATCTTATTAGATCTAAGATTCACTTTCACAAAGGTGAGCACAAAATAAAATTATAATCGTTGCCTCGATCAGAAATTTTATTAAATCTAAAATCAATGACCGAAAATGTTACTTTTAACGTCTTAGCGTCTAATTAGAGCATGTAATGCAAAATTGGGCAAATAATGAAATAAAAATAATTTTTTAATACATTAAGGCTTAAAGGAGCAGGCCAGACACGTTATAACAGTTAATTCCAAACTTTAGAGCATCATGGAGGTTGTTAATAAAGAGCGAGAACAACAGGGAGTTAAGGACGCAGCCCTGTCTAATCCCCAAAAGATTTTCTAATAAAACATGGGATACCTATCCAAAAATAACGTATTAGATACTATGAAACAACAGTCAAGGAGCTCAAGTACGATGACCAACTTTGGGGGAAAAATACACAAAACCACTTGAAAAGATTGCTATGGCTTGATTGTTGCTTTGAAAATTTTAATTTTCATATTGACAAATTTTAAAGTGACATATGTACGTTCTGATTCGTATTGCAATTTGTTTCAATAGTTTTCCTTTATTCATGTAAATATTTCTTTCACCTACATGAAATATTTTTAGTACAGGATAACAATTTATATGAAATTGTTAAAAGAGGCAAGCATTTCAAATGATTAATTTTGTTCGTACAGGAACGTTATCGTTTCAAAATATCTCGTGTATTTTTTTCACATGAGCTCTGACAAATGGCCAAATATCGTTGACAGAACACTGCAGGTGTTAAAACGAAAAAAGGAAATGAACTGCTGGAATTGGTGGGATTGGTTAACCCGGGATGCGTGATCGTGTGACAAAGCAGATGGCGATATGAACGATAAAGTCGGCAATCGATGCTGATCACAATCGGCTGGTGGCCATTGACCCTGGGCAAAAATAATTGGACAACCTTATAAATAACAGATCATTAAAGAGTCAATGATGCACAAAGGGAGAACTAATCCAGGGCCGGGTTTCTTAGAAAAAAACAACATCATCGCGGATTGGCATGATCGATGGCGAAACTGCAAGGAAAACTTCAGAGGTCTATAAAGACTTTGATCAGAAAATAAATAAATAAAATGTGTACGTTTCTACTTAATTAATTTAGTGAGGATCAACGTTTGATCTGTTGGTGGACTTGTGGTTTTTCCCTTAGCCGGCTAGCTAGGACCATCTGTTTTACTCGTATTTTTATTACCTTTTTCTATAAAGTGTAAACGTTCTACAGGCCATTAAAATGTCTTATGTCAATCAAAATAAACATACTTTTAAGATCTCCACCCTTACAACTACTCTAAAATTATGTTCAACATAAACCTACGGTTGGTAAGCCGGCAAGGCGGTTTTCACCGTCATTCATGGAAATTGCATTAATACCGAATACACTAGAAATGAATATATCAAATTAAATAAGATATGATGTTCGTTGATAATCTATGTAGGGTTCCAGTCTTCGTAGAGGTCATTAGACAGGTGAAAAAAAGAAAACTAAATGCTGGGTTCACCGAGCTTTCGGCACGTTATAGTGCCATCATCAGGGCCTATTTTATTACAAATTCAAATATTACATTAATTGTTAATTGTATGGTACTATGTGCTTATTTGAATTTGTAATAAAATAGGTCCTGATGATGGCACTATAAGGTGCCGAAAGCTCGGTGAACTCAGCATTAGTCTTCTTTTTTTCACCTTTCTAATGACCTCTACGAAGACTGGAACCCTACACAAATTAAATAACCATAAATTAAATAACAACTATGGTAACTTGACATTCCGTACCAACCCTTTTCCGTACACACAACCACTCACGCAAATAAGTACATTAACACAATCCTGAAGCCACCAGGATTTTTGATATTACTCCAGCGACTACCCTCCCTCCTATAACATTGAAAGTATATATAAGAATAAATAGTTTTGTCTCTCTGTACTCGAATTTCATTACAAACATATTGGGTTGTCCGGAAAATAATGCAGGATTTTGGTATTAAACAAAAAAAAAGAAACTAGTTACTTTAAAGCAATGTTCTTTAATCAAAATAATTTCCCATACTCTCAATACATTTCTCCCAACGTGTTGGTAACTTATTAATTCCGTCTGAGTAGAATTCAGAATTTTTAGAATTGATAAAGTCAATAAATGCATTTTCCAGTTCCGTTTGATTTTTGAATATTATGTGTTGTAAGTAGTGGTCCAGGTGTCTAAAAAAATGGTAGTCAGTAGGCGAGAGGTCCGGAGAGTAGGGTGGGTGAGGCAAAGTTTCATAGCCAAGCTCCAATAATTTTTGTGACGTTACACGTGACACATGTGGTCGAGCGTTGTCATGCAACAAAATGGGCCCTTTCCGATTGACCAAAGAGGGCTTCATTACTGCCAATTTCTGATGCATGGTATTAATTTGGTTACAGTATGATTCAGCATTGATGGTTTCGCCAGGATTTAAGAAGCTGTAGTGTATTAAACCAAATGAAGCCCACCATACCGTAACCATTACCTTTTTTTGATGAGTTGGGGGCTTTGGAAAATGTATTGGAGCTTCTCCTTTGTCGAGCCACTGTCCAGAACGTCTAGTGTTATCGTAGAGAATCCACTTTTCGTCACATGTAACAATTCTGGCCAGAAATGGGTCATTTTTGTTTCGACAAAGAAGTGATGCACAAACATCAAAGCGCTGATTTTTTTGGCGATCGTTTAATGAGTGTGGAACCCAATTTTCGAGTTTTTTCACTTTTCCAATCGCCTTGAGGTGGTCAGCGACGGTCGTTTTACTGACTTTGAGTTGCTCTGCAAGTTCTCGAACAGTTGTTTTGGGGTTTTCTTCCACCACTGATCGCAGAACATCATCATTAAGAGAGGAAGGCCTTCCACGACCTTCTTCATCTTCAAGGCTGAAATCTCCCTCCCGAAATTTTTTAAACCACCTTTGCACAGTGCACTCATTAACACAACCCTCGCCCCAGACTTGGTTAATGTTTCTAGCCGTTTGGGCTCCGCTTCGGCCGAGTTTAAACTCGTAAAAGAAAATCGTACGAAATTCTCGCTTTGACATTATAAGGATGACTGAATTATTTCCAAGTAGCGGAATGCTACAGAGGTAAACAAACAATATCATTAATCCTGTAAACGTAAACAGAATATTTTATATAGATTTTTTTTAATGAAAACTTAAAATCCTGCATTATTTTCCGGACAACCCGATACTATAACGTTCGCTCAAATAAATACATTCGCTTACTGTAAGAATATTATTTCAACCAATGTATAAAAGAGCTAATTCCTCGTACTATGTCAATGTATGTTTTACATGTTTTTACTTGTACGCCGCATAAAGGGTATCTACGTGGTCTTTACTTGAGATGCCTATGTGTCGGCCTGATATGGCTTAACCGCAGGCGAGTCAACGTGATCCTTTTTTTTTTCCATTTCTTCTGTATTTCATTTAGTTTGTCTTGGTGGTTGATTGGAATTGATTGATAGCAAAAGAAGAATAATAAACTTTTTAAACTAACTATTGTATTTATCTCAATATAGGAGGTATTCAGTTGAAATACTATCTAAAACAGAAGTCTTCTCGAAGAGAATCATTGTCTGCTCATAAAAGGACATTCGTTCATATTTTCGTTTCTATTTAATCCGCTTTGTGTTTTCCCCTTAAAAAGAAGAAAGGAGGAAGGAATTAAGAATGTAAAAGTTTCTCTATAGTAGGGGACATACATATAAAAGTGAGGATGAAACAATGTTGTTTTAATTCGCAGCAGTTCAACAAAAAAGAGACGATGGTACATCAGATCAAAATTTAACTATGATGATAAAATAATGAAATATAAACTTGTTTCAGGTCCCGCTTTTAATGCTTGCCTGGTTGCTTTTGGTGTCAGCAGAACCAAATCCTCGTCTTGTCATCGTTGTTAAACCCAAACCACAGTATGGTTTTTGTTATTAAAGAAATTCAAATTTTGTTTTTAATTATTATTAATGTCAAAGGATATCCGCCCGGTCTCAAATGCAGCCGATGATGCCAACTATCGATCCGGAAGTTCACTATCACAACGACGAACATCATCATCACCATCACGATGAGCACCTCCACGACGATGAGCATTCGCATGATCACGGGGACGTCCACAATCACTGGGATGGGCATGAGCACAGTCACGACGATGTACACTACCACGTCGACGACCATCACCATGATCACGAGGACCTTCACGAACATTCTGACTACCACGGACACGACCACGACGACGAGCACTATCACCACGATTACCACGGTCACGAGAATCGCGGCACGGCTCATCACGGTCACCAGGACTATCATCATCACGCCGCTTCTCTCTTCCCACCTCAGCAGCAACAGCAGCAACGGCAAAAGAGAAAAGCAGCGATTTACCATAGAGATGTCTACCATCATCACCATTTTGGAAAGCACATCGATACAAAGAAAGTATATCAAAGCCCACCAATTTGGGTAAACGAACCTGCGAGAAATAAACGTTTCTGAATAACTGTAAAATAAATTTTCCGACAAAGCAATTATAACATGTCTAAAAAGTTGAAAAATGTATCTGTAAGTTTATGCTCTCTGTCCTCGTATATAAATTATACTAATTTAATAATTACAGTATTGAACGAACCTTTATCATCCAATAAGATATCTATCATAACATAAAGTTGATGATCTTACTGGGTCCGTCTTCACTCGGGGATTTTGTTGATCAACTCGTGTTAGGAAACTTTGTATTATTTCTTCACTGGAGCGCAAAGCCGAAACGCGTTCGAGTAACATAAAGCCCGCGAGTGTAGACGGACCCAGTTCTGGTTCATATGTATTATATATAATAACAATGCAATACGCTTTGAGGAGATTTCCTTGTTCGGGGGACTGGACATCGACAACATCGATTAAAATCAACACACTCCGAGTTGGCTAAGAATACATCTTTGCATAATCGAGTACCGTCTATAAAACGACCAGTAGGCCCTTCACCCTGTGAACATCTTTAAAAGTCGAACTTGCTAGGTGAGCCTTGGTCGCTGTTTCAACCCAGAAGTCCTGCCTAAAGTCCCCGGACTTATACAGCCGAGAGACCACGCCTCCATCAGTGCATCGTACACGACAAGTTTTTCTTTTTATTATTATTTTTTAATTCCATTCAATTCACTATTTTCGTGGTCCGCTTGACCAATTAATACTTTACAATTAATTAAGGTTTTTAGTTGAGATGAAAAAAAGTTAATGGCACGAAAGGGATTCGAACCCACGACCTTCGGCTAGATACGCCGCTGCTCTACCAATTCATAAGGTGGGGAGTTGATGTCCGAGTGGATCGAGGTCACGATAGTTCAGGTGGTAGAGCAGCGGCGTATCTAGCCGAAGGTGGTGGGTTCGAATCCCTCTCGTGCCATTAATTTTTTTTCATCTCAACTAAAAACCTTAATTAATTGTAAATTATTTTTTAATATTATTATCATTATTTCACTTTCATTATTTCTGAGCTGCTTGCTTGCCATTAGAAAAATCAGAATAGTTTTGTTTTATTATATTCTTTTTTTTTTTTGCTCTGTAGACATTTCGTTTCCTTTCCTTTAACGGTCCACACCACCACAATCCAACCCAGAGACCGTCCCTACCCCAAAGTAATCCTACCCAAGGTAAAATGATATAGTTTCATTAACTGAAATATTAATAAATTAAAATATGTAAATTCAAGCAGCTTCGTGTCAGATCTAAACGACCAGAATACATTCCCTAATGTAATGGAGGTTCTTCATTTTTCAACAAACCCCAACCCCAATAAACATCTTCATCTTCAAAATTTCTGTGTCCAGTTTACTACCACTTTCTGAGCAAATTCTTGGAAAAACATCACTAAAAAAAACCGTGCGTTAAATTTGTCCATCAGTGAAGTATTATTATTATTATTTCTGATAAGTTTAGCGGTAATAATTGACCATGTTAATTATTTCAATTAATTTTTATTTTTATTGATTGTGATTTCACCTCGAAGGGAGTCACTCTCTAATGTCTGACTCTAGGGCCAATACGTCAGGGGGTAGGAAGTATCTCTTTGTGTGGCCTGATCGCTATAAATAAGTTTAGTGGTGGTCCCAACGAATTAGTGCATACTTATGAACTCTGGTGTTCGATTTGTCAGTACGTGTTTTTGTAATGACAAACGCTTTAAGATAGACCATGGGACAAATGATCATAAAAATCATTCTTCAAAACAAAACAATTTTTTTTTAAATTGATAACTTATTATTTTGAACAATGTTGATCTTCTTGAAGTAATCATGTTTCGGCGAATTTCTTACTACTTTTGTTTCTACAGGGACTAAGTTTTCATGACAGATCAGGACGTATCAGAACCCGCGCTGAAGCACAATTATTGAAGAACAAGCAGAACTATTCAACAGTTATGTCCTGTTGGGTCACTGGGTCGCTTATAGAATCATTCTACCCTCGCAGGGTTTTGATACTCAAACGCGTTTATGCCATCTTCAATGAGGAATTTCATTTAAGTAGCATCAAAAACCCGAGAGGGTAGAGGAACTCTGTAAGTGATCCAATGCCGGTTCAATATTTGTTTACCGATTCGCAGGTCAACATCAACTATCAACAGGACATAACTGTTGTATAATTCTGCAGGGGAATGTCCCTGGTTTAAAGCTTGGCATATAGACGAATTTCCTTAATTAAGAGTATTCAACCAAGAGCTCTATCGAAAATGGACAATCACCAGGACTCTTATAAGTACTATTCTCTCTGATGTGTCAGATAGTTTTCCCCATGTAAAGTTTATTTAACTTGGTCGAATTCAAAAGCCAGCAATAGTTTGATGCTTTTTTTTCACTTTCTGATGAATTCTTAATCTCAGTCATTCTTTTAATATATTTAGGTAATGGTGGTAGCTTGAGAAACGTTCTATGGGAGTTGTGGGTGTTGTTTTAAGAGCTCTAAGACATGATATTTTTTGTACTTTTTTACAAGGTCTTCTGCTTTTCTTTGTTTTATTTATATGCAACTTGCATTTGTTCATTTTACAATTTAGACCCTAAGTTCTATCTCAGAGTCTTTGACTTTTGTACTTTTATTACTCTCCCCTGGGATCTCTTAAGGTGTGCAGTCCCAGTTGACCTTTGATCAACAATTAATCGTACGTATGTAGTAACATCTTTGGAATGCTTTATTCCTTGGTTTCGCATCAGGATTGGCCTTCTTTTTCCTGGAGAATGGCATTATTGTTACCATGGAGAGGCTTATATTTAGGCCCTTCTCCTGGCATTAATTCATTGTTATAATATTTAAGACTTTTTGCAATAATTCTTCCTAACCTCTAAGAGTCTGGCCGTATTTGTCTCTGATTATTACAACTCTGTTATTGGCGTACTCTTATACGTCGAAGCCAATTGTGGTTAGTACATATTCTTATATTCCTCCTGGTCATCCATTACATTATTACATAAAGTTAGTAACAGTACTCCTCCTTGGGGGCATACTCTCAGCAGTAGTCAAAAGTCAAAATCATAAGCTTTTCGTATAGCACACCCTTACCATTACTGCTGAGGGTGTTGTTTTCAAAACACTATTGATGCTACTGCTATTCTTTGGACTTTTTCTAGTAGTTTCCCTGCGTTTTTTTTCTATTTTTGGCACTTATATTCAAGTGATATACTCGCATATCACCATTGATCGATGTATCGTAAGGTAATGAATGTAATATCATCTTAGTCTTTCGCAAATCCATTATAGAATATTTAGGCAGTCCAAACTAACGTTCAGTTGGTGTCGTAAGCTTGGAGATTTTAGAGCTTTAGAATTATCAGATAGCATTATGATTGCTGCACTTATGATTTACGACATTGAACTATGGGATTCAACCATACCTTCCAATCTCAATTGAATCCAGACCACATATACTAAGATTTACTATTAACGGATCGTTCTATGTTTCAAACAGCACTATACACTATTTCTTAAGCATTATAACAAATGTCTCCTAAATCTTCAATCACACATCAATCAACGCATTCTATATTTAGTGGTATTTGTATTCGTTATCATTAATGTTACTAACTTGGAAAGAGAAGATTGATGTTACCTAAAAATTTAATTAAATTGTGTTTCAAACTTTAGGATATTTAACATTTTTGTTCAAATAATATCAATTTTCATCGTGGTGATGTCCATGGTGGTGCCCGTGGTGATGACCGTGATGATGTCCATGGTGGTGGCCGTAGTGATGTCCATGGTGGTGGCCGTGGTGATGACCATGGTGATGGCCATGGTGATGTCCATGGTGGTGGCCGTAGTGATGTCCATGGTGGTGGCCGTGGTGATGACCATGGTGGTGGCCGTGGTGATGTCCATGGTGGTGGCCGTGGTGATGTCCATGGTGGTGGCCGTGGTGATGTCCATGGTACCAATAATCTTCATGGTGAGGATGTGCATCGTGAATCACCGCGCTTCGGGCTGAACGTCGACGAACTGAGTTATGGTGATGATAGTCTTGATGGCCGTGCACAGAAGTCCCGAGATCTTTGTGCTCGTGGTGACTCTCGTGATAATGTTGATTTTCATGAGCGTGATCATGGTTACTACTGTGTTCGTGAATGTTGTGATGTATATGATGATTGGGGCTGAAATGATTGTGTACATTTGCGTGAGAGTGGTGATGTACAGAATCGTGGTTATGGACGTTGTCGTGTTGGTGATTGTGGAAGTCGTCGTGGAGGTGCTCATCGCTGTGATAATGGTGATGTTTGTCCCAATGGTAATGAACTCTCGGCCTAGAAGGTCCTGGACCATTTGCCGCTTGTCCGAGTCTTGAAAATGTAATTTATTATTTTACAAGCATAACGGTAGAGCAACAAGAAGAATTAATGATTGTTGTGAAGTTAAGAATCTGATTGATCTTTAATTTCTTGCGTTCATTTGTAATTTAAGTAACTTACTGAGATTTTTGCAAAACGACAACATGACCAGACGTTCCGGCAACGATGGCAGCAAATAGAATAAATGGTATCATCTTAACCAGACACCTTTTCTCCAATAGGTCTCTTTCTAAGAACTGACTTTATTTATACGCCGGTGGAATTCTCCAACCCCTCTGAGGAAGTTAAAGCAGATTATCGTGGACATAATAAAGATCTTATGACGACTTAGCCATTACGAGATGATCGAGGAAAGTTAACTCGAAATCCTATTGTACATTAAGTCCCCATTGTGTAATTAAGCACGACTTACCGGCCACTTTCGTCGAAAGGAATTTCGTACGATCCGTAAACCAGGAGTTCGTGTCCGTCAGTGTCACGTGTGCCTCGGACCACCTTCCACACGCGTACTGGTAAAAATCAACGCACGGATCTTGCCTTGTATCCATGTTTTCGATGAACATGGAAGCTAGATGAAGAAAACTATTGTTAGAGTTTAAATCAAGCTCAATAGAAAAATAAACAAATAAAAGATAAAAGCAGTGAGGTCATATAAATGCTAAGATTTCTAGATAATTTCTCGTCTCCTGTGTGACAATACAACAAAATTTGCTATTTTAAAATAAATTGAACTTTATAAAAGTTGGTTTAAATTTAACCTACTTTTAAAAACTTTGTATTAATAAATATTCTGACAGGACGCGGCCCTATATCGAATGTTTTAAACATTTACTAAAACAATTGAAAAAATTGTTTTCCTGCGTTTTTATTTTAGTATTTGAATCTTTGTTCCGTCTAATTAACAATTTTTTTAACTTCATAGTAACTTTTTCCCGGAAAATTAACCCTTTTTATTTTCAAATTAACCTTTAATAATTTCAAATGAACCCTTTTCTAAAAGAATTAAAAACCTTAAGAGATGGTATGAAATATAAATACATCAAGAAAAATTCCTGCATATTAGTGATGTTTTTTAAATAATTAGGCTCTTAGGAAACCATGTGAAAATTAATTACCATCACAATTAAAAAATACAAATTTACATATAAAAGTAACTTCGTCTTTTAATTTCAGAATTTTTCAAAATATAAAATGACTTCGACAAAACGAAATCTTCTAAGGGCCCAATTAATTTGTATTTTAAAAAATCCCCAAATAAACAGGACTACTACTTTACATGCTATTTCATACCGGACTTGCCAAGTAAAAATCTGTGCCAGAAAGATCAAGAAATAAATTTATCATAAATTCGTGGCTCACCTGATTTGATACACTCTTGAGAATAGCATAGCCTTTTTTGCCCTGGAACAAAACTATTTTCAATTGTTTCTAACAGCTCAAAAACAGAGAAAATTGATTTTTTTTTTATCGGGGGCACAAGTGTTCAATAGCAATCAAATAAATCTGAGCCCGTCGGGAAATGAGCTTGTCATACGTCCAAATCGATTTTGAATTATCGAAGCTTTGCCCAATCAATCCGCCGATGACAGTTTTCTTTAAAACACCCCTAATTGGCCTTTATCATTTTTAAAAATCTTTCCTTTTTTATGTTTACAACAAATTGCGGCAATTATTAAAAGGCTACAGTGCATAATGAACAATCAATAACCCGCATGCTGAGGCGAAATTCTGACAGTCATTTGTAACATTGATGGGTAATCAATAGTCGATTTACCACCTGCGACAATAATAGCTGCTAGGTGTTTTTAAAAACGAAAGTATGAATATTATATCAAAGAATATTCACGCAAGATAATCCCGTAAATAAGTTGAAATTAAATACTATATAAAAAGAAAGAATATACAAGAATGAAGTCAGTCGTTTTCTCTATTTTCATTCATTTCACCCAAATTCAAATTTTAAATTCCCTCTAAAAACTAAATATAAATGTTTATGTTTATTCGAACATAGGATAACCCACTATAACTACACTGAGAGGTAAAAAAGTGGCCATCCTCAATAGTTTTAATTATATTGTACAAAATCCTCGATTGATTATCTTACAACAATATTTGGTCCATTTTAAAGGATCAGAGGTAAATAAAACACAGATAAAATCTTCTCTTGTGTTAACGATTAGATTTTGTAAATAAATTTTTGAATAGTCGATCTCTTCTTTGATGACTTTTCTGTATAGTTTCTTTCTAACGTCCCAGTAAATGGATTTTTTTAAGTTGTAATATTTTTAAATTTCAAATTTGTTTGAGTGATGGGTTAAATGATACAGATTTGGTTAGAATCATAGCATTGTTGGAAGATGGAAGAAGTCAAGCTTAAGCCAGGATGCTTAATATTTCTAAAACAACTATCCGGAGGGTCTTCCATTACTCAAGAAGGCAAGAATCAGGTCCCCATCTCAGAGAAATGGTCGTTTCATTCAAATATATTCCGCAATCGACATTCTACCGCTGTTGAGATCAACCAACTACTTCAGCAAGTTAGTTTACGCACTGAAAGACTTTCAGAAGCAGGATTGCGTGCGAGAAGGCCTGCCACTTGTCCAGAAATTCTGACAAGGCACAGGATTTATATTTCGCAAGAAGTCACATCAATCAGTCTGAGCAAGATTGGTGGACTAAAATCTTGTTTTCGGATGTGTCAAGGTTTTGTTTGAGGTCTTCTTACGGCCGAGAGAGGGTTTGGTGAACAGGAGAGCGATATATCCCCGCAACATTTTCACTCCTCGAGCTATGGAGGTTGTGATGTTACGGTTTGGGCAGGCATTTCGGGAAGGTCGGACAAACTTGATTTTCATCGAGGGTTCCAGCTGCGCGATACATTGAAGATGTGTTCCTTATAAGTCACCGGTTGGCTTCGGTTTTATTTTTATGCATGTCAATGCAAGGCCCACACAGATAGGATCATTGGTGACTACTTGGAACGGACTTCAATTCAAAGTTCCGACTTAAATCCTATGGAACACCTTCGGGACGAGTTGTCAAAGAGGGTAAAAAGGCCCAGTTATGCTAAAGAATTTTCAGGAATTATAAGAATGGCGCTAGAGAAGTATGAAAATATTCCACAGCAGTACATTCAAAACCTCATAAAATCGATGCCACGTCCAATGCAAGCCGTGATCAACGCAGGAGAAGGAAATACTCCGTACTCTAAATGCCCTTAGATTTTATTTCGTATTAATTACATTTTTTCAAGCAGCCTGAAATACAAGATGAAGCAGCGAATAGAAGCAGTTTGAAATAGGCTTTATGAATGAGCTTATAAAGCAAATCAAACTGATAGAACCGGCAGATGATGATTTTTCTTGAACTGGTAAAGATAAATATTCTTAAGAATTCTATATAAAGAAATGATACAATTTGTTTTATATACATGCAAAAAATATAAACATTTATTTAACCTAAAACATTGATAAGTAATCCGTCATGAGGTCGGTTTGTTAGGTAGTCCATGATTAAACAAAAAATGAACTAACCAAAGTTTCAAATTATTTCTATGCTTATTATTATTATTAGATTTCCAAGTAATGATTGTTTTTTCAAACATTCTAAAAATTCTTGAATTAGTGCATTACATAATATGTACAATTATTTCTCCTTTGTATTTGGTAACTTTAATGGTACAAATTGTATTATTAATGCCTAGTCTACCTCGCTTATTTTCTATGCATCTTCTGGTGTCATATTAAGGATTTTCCTTTGTTTTTGATTGCACACTTCATATCAGAAAAGTCTCTTTAAAATGTTTATTTTTTCACTTAACTTTTTAGTGAGATTGCTTTATTTTTTCGAAAATATATTTTTTGTGCGAATAATTTGGTTTAATTCTAAAATACTTACGGTTTGACGAAATTACAATTAGCGCTACGAACAATGAAAATGTTATTAAGGAAAGAAGAAATACAGCTAAAATCAATTTCTTCTCGTTTGAGGTTCTCCCTTTAAGAAATTTTTTCCATCTCCTGCCGAAGGAAAAAATATAACATTTTGGTTTTTTAATTTACCAGTGTCCGGACCAGGTTCATAACGGATTTACCTGTTCCTTTTGGGCGTTACATCGACCAGGTGGTTAGTGCTTGAATTTAAACTGTCGTCTCTCACCGGCCCCATCATTTATTTTAGTCTTATTTCTTAGAGGGAACGTGCTGGTCTGGGCACCGCGACGTGACTGCTCATGGCTCGGATTCCCTTAGCGCACACGATTCCACAAGTGTTTGCATTCCGTTGCTAGACGACATATAAATGAATAGTGTGTCCGAACCGTGTTTTGACGAGGAAAAAGCTTGGATTTAGCGATAGAATTGTTCTTTTTAACCGGATTTGAGATAATGCGAGCGAGGAGCATTGGATACAACTTTTAATTAGTTCATAACTCGCGAAAAGTTTCAGTCATTAGAACCGGCTAGCCACATGATAACAGCCATTTTATAACAACAATGGATTATTTATGCTTGAACCAAAAAATGAACACAAGCTTTTTCTTAAGTCTAGATTATGATTTATTATAAATGTACACAATATCAATAAAACCCTTCATTAAATCGTTTCGTTGAAGGTTTCTATTAAATATTTATTTTAAATAATGGTTTATTAGCACCTTATTTATTATAAAATACACTAATAGTTTCGACGCTCGATTGGTGGCATCCTTTTCAAGTGTTTCGTTGAATATTAAATTTTCTGTTAACTTGTTATTTTTGGTGTTCATTTCCTGCCAATTCGTTCGTTAACCAAAATGTTCATTTTCCCGGCTCGAAGGTGTCCCGACGGACATACATACACCTTGTGGTAAAAAATGCCAATAAGCCCCCCAAAAAAGGAAAAAGAAATGCGGAGGCAGGACGTCGAGGACGCGAGAAAAAAAGGATCGAGCACGTGTCGGATTGAGGTATCGGGAACGAATTGGTAGGAAATGAACACCAAAAATAAGACAAATACAAGTTAACAGAAACATTTAATCTTCAACGAAACACATGAAAAGGACGCCACCAATCGAGCGTCGAAACTATTAGTATATTTTAAATAAGGTAATAACCTTATTCAAAATAAATATTTAAAACCCTTTATTATTGAATCAATCACATATCAATTTTTGTAAATATATAATTAGATAACTTTATTGTATTGTAATACAACTTTTACATTAGTAAGGAAATAAAAACTAATTTATCTGGCCTTTACTGTTGGGTGCAATCCAACGATTATCCTGCCTTATTTTATAGTCACTGAAGTGGCATAATAAATTAAATATAACAAACTAAAACCAACTATTTATTTCAACATTACAACTAAGAGTTTCATTGTCATAATATAATCATTTTGTGTTTACTTTTCAAGTGTCTTTTGTTTATCAGGTGAAGGGGGGGACATGGTTTATTTAATCATGCAAAGTTAGATCATGGGCCTTATAACGTGCATAAGAAAAGTTTGAGGAAGGGATAGTAATTTTCTATTAAGAAAAGAAAGAGAAATGTTAGGAGGAAAAAATATGCATTTATTACTAAGGAAACTCAAATTACAAAAAAAAATTATATTGACAAAACAACTATAACGTACTTTTTTAGGATGTAACCCTATAACAAACTTGAGAACTACCTTACAGACTAATGAACCTTTTCTTACAATCTAATATTACAAGGTAAACTTTCCAAAGAGCTAGGGTTTCTTTTACGCTTCTCGATTCCGTTGGTGTTGAAAATCCCCGCTGCCAGAAAATGCATCCAAACAAAAACCTAACCGTGAAAAAAGTGCCAAGTTCTAGACTCCTCCCAAAAAATTAGCCTATCAATGTAGTGACATCTACTCGATCTCAAAAGAAAAGATAAAGTTTCATACTCCCTCCGAAAAAAGTAAAAAAGCCAGCCTATCAAATTAGTGATTTCTACATGGTGGCCAACCTCACTTCTCTCCTACTTTTATGAGCAACACAGTTTTTATTTTTATCGGTTAAAACTTGGCCAGTTTCTGAATAAGGATTAAAACATCGGGTCCATGTTTGCTCTCACAGGAGAGCTGGATGAAGGAAGGCAGAGAACTCACAAGAATAGAAAAAAGTTCCAGACACCTCATTGCTCAATTCTATAATATCGTCCCCTTCTTAAAGCGGCACAAGTTTTAAGAAATTGTAATTAATAAAGATAATAAATTCAGATTATTTCTTCTTTACATACGATGTAAGCCCTGCATTTCTACCAAATTTCACGGTTCTACCTATACGGGAAGTGACTTATACGACAAGTTTGATGATAAGCTAAACCATTCCCTCTAAAGTGGCACTAATTTTGAGAAAATTGCAATGTTTAGATTCTTACATTTGCTTATAAGACATTTTTGTTGTTTAAGACTACTTTTGTACCAAATATCGCTTACCTACTTATACGAAAGTGCCTTATAATTTGGATGATGAGACCCCCTCCTCCCAAAAGCGGCATTAATTTTCACATTGTTACCTTTTTTAAAATATATGATCTACCTTTGTACCAAACTTCACGGTTCTACCTATACGGGAATTGCCTTCTAATTTTGAAGGCGAGACTACTTTCTTCATCACTAAAGCGACACTCAGATTTTAGAAAATTTCAATTTTCAGATTTTTCATTTAATTTCTTTATAAACTCTACCTTTTTACTGAATTTCATGTTTCTAACTATTCGGGAAGTACTTTACAATTTTGATGATCAGTGAGACACTCAGTAACAAAAAATCAAATTTTGAAATTCTCCCTTTCAAAAAGGCTTAATATTAAGTGCTAAAATTTTTACAATGTCCTACGCGACTTAAGCTAAATTTTTTTTCAAATTTCCAAAGCTCGTCGTAAGAGGAAGCAGAGATATGAGGGTGAAAAAACCGGGTGAATTGGTTCGTAAATGCCCTGCCGTGCGCTCAGATGGCACATTCATCAAATTTGGGCCTTAGTCGATGAAGGAATTGACTATTTTCTGAAGATCCAGCCAAGCCCTAAAGATATCCGCATCGACGCACACTGTCACATTGTCTCGGCTGGTCTCTACCGACTCACTCACCTACACTAATCCTAAACCTATCCTAGGCGGGCATCACACCGCCAACTTCAGTTCAGGAAGCATAACATGTTAAATAATATTACATATATTACGTCATCAATAAAGATTACATTATTTACACGACAAAACATTGGATCGTGGATTTAACCTAACCCTAACACTACAACCTAACCCTACCTAACCTGATCATTCCCAATCCAACTTAACCCAACCCATGCGTTCTCTTTGGTAACGCATCATCGATACCGCGAAAATGGTCAAGCAAACAAAATTGTGTATTCAAGTTTACCTATTCTAAGTAATGTAAGTAAGTTTATTTACCTTTGCATCAAATAAATTAAATTTGAATAGTTTTAATGTATCATATTTCTTTAGACTTCTGAAAAGAAGACCAATTAATTTAAATTAATAAACCGTCTTCTATTTTCAAATGGAAGAATAGCTGTTGCCTAATTGGCTTTACAATCTACCCCTCCATACATCCGGATAGAGGGAAAACGAGTAAAGCCAAGCGATCAAGTCAAGTACTTGAGGGTAATATTAGGCGATAACTTGAACCCAGTACACCACGCTATTAAAATAAGGGAAACGACAAGAAGGGTGTAAAATAGATTGAATGGAATAGCGAAAGTGGAATATGGACTTAACACAAAAGCGCTCTCCACAATCTATAAAAGTGTCTTCCTCCTAATAGCAAGTTATGGTGCAGCCGGATGGGTCAAACGACTACCGAGCAAAAGCAAAGCTATAATAGAGCAAAGCCAACGAATAGCTCTTATAAGAGCCACAAAAGGATACAGGACGATTTCAACACACGCCCTACAAGTAATAGCCAACGCATCGCCAACAGATCTTGTCCTTAAAGAAAGGGTGGTCATCCACCAAAAAAAGAAAAATGAGGGAATTGATAGCCAAGGAGAAATAGACTGGTTCCGAAGCACAACTGGAAAGGAGGCAAAAGAGTACTTGGGAAAAAAGACAAGGGCATCGTGGCAAGAAAGATGGACAATCAGCAATGAAGGTCGGCTGACATCCAAATTTTTCCCCAGCGTTGGAAAAAGACAAAAAGCAAAATGGCTACACCCCGACTACTCGACCACCCAAATGCTATCAGGACATGCACTTCGCAAGCTATCTTCATAAATATAAGAAAAGAGAAAGCCCTTTATGCTCCGTTTGCAGTACTGAAGAAGACGCCGAACATAAACTCTTCAGCTGTATCAAATTCAATGCAGAAAGAGAACGTTTGCGAAAGGCCATCACCTCAACAGAATGGCGGCCTAATCTCCAAAAACCTTGATATCAAATCATTTGCAGCACTAAAAGACTTTGCCTCAAATACGCTTAAATGAACAAGTCCCTATTTATTCTAATTACTAAGTCCTAAATATTGTTGTTATTGTTAGAGTTTTATTACCGTTATTTATTTATTTATTGCATAATTAAACATAGGTTTAGGTTTAGGGTTCCGGGCTGTTTTCCTATTCTTAGTAAGAAAATTTTAGATAATGTAAATATATAGAAAATAAAATCAAGGAAAAGTAAATGTGCAAGGGGAAACCAGCAAGGGAAGAGCTTTTTGTTTTAGGTTTTAAAATGATAATATGGTCCCTTCGAAAACCGACCAGCGGTCTCGCCTGAAGGAAAGATCTTTGGGAGGTAATTTTATCTCATTTATTTGAAATCCCTTAGATACAAATTCGATTAAGCTAAAGCGTTTGTCCGCCGGTATGGGGTCTTCCTCAGGTACGGCGGGGTGGTGGAAAGGGTAAAAAAATGGCTTTACAATCTAATTTTCAACGCAGTAATCAGTGCCAATAATAAATGCAGGACAAATTTACTCTGTTAGAATATAGGTAGGAAAGCTTGAAATCCATAAAGTCCTTTAATATAAATTGGATTAATTAGACTAAATTAAATTAATTGTAACTTAGCCTAACCCTAACGCTAACTTAACCTATTCCCAGCCTTAACCCTACCTGACCTAACTATTACTAATCAAATTTAACCCTCTGGAATGCAAAATAGATGTCGCGAAAATGGTGGCACAAATAATTTGTGATCCAGCTTTGAAATATGTCTATGTTAATAGGCAGATTGATAGATAACACCGAGCAAGACAAATCAACTTGATTCGCCAGTTGGTGCTCAGTCAGGATTGTGACCGTAAAGACACTTGAATGGCTCGCATTGCCTCATGGGGAACAAAGCACAAAAAGTGATATTATTGACAGTCAAATACCTTTGGTTAAAATTAAAAACTATAAACTGTACATATAACAATATAAGAATAGTTTTCTGTAAACGAATTAAGATCTGCTGCGATTTTGAAAGCGTTCATAAACCTTTTTTACCGTCCTTAAGAATTTCCGCTCAAGCCTCTCTTGCAAGATTTTCGGCCTGTCTGTCCTACTATTGCCATTCGGTCTTTCTCTGTAATATCCTCCGCAGAATATCATGGGCTGTAAACAACGAGATTTCCGTATTTAAACTTATTTTTTTGAAATAATGTGGAGACGTTTCATTGAAGAAACGTTGTACTTTTGCGGCATTTTTTAAAATGCTAGCTAATAGCCCCGCTGCATGGATAAATGGGAAATATAGTCTGGGGTTGTTGAGATAAATATGAGAAAATTAAACGAAAATCAATTTAAAAAACTCTAATTCCGATTGTTTTTGTGATCTGTGGATTGGATCCATATTTACTTTTCCATAACTAATTGTTTTAAAAATAATTTTCCTAAGTTGAATTTGTAATAAGGTTGTATTTTAAATACAACATGTAATAAAAAAATAGTTGATAGCTCTAATAGTGAAACGGAATATTTTAAAAAAGCGCGATTTCCGATTACTTTTGTGAGACACTAATTTAGTTTGTCATCGATCATTATATAATAATAAGAATGAAAATCATAATAAGAATCTTCTGAAAAGAAACAACATGAACTGATAACATGTGGTTTTAATAAAAAATATGTAAGTGAAACAATGTACTATTTTAGTGAAATGTATAACATCGTTGGTTTTGTTAAAGCAGATTTTTTTCTTATTTATCATTAAGTTTACTAGATCATCCTAAATTATCAGCTTTTATTATATTGTCATGTTTTTTAATCGTCTATTGTTCAGAATTTTTCATTCCGATAAACATCAAGCTATTTATTAAGAAATAATAATCTAATTTTACGTTACTATTCACGTAATTTAAACTGCGCCAAGCTTCACGAAGTAATAAATTAGATGATTAATTGATAAACCACGATTGTGTTTTAAGTGGGCTAACTCCATGGTTTAATAAAAATTGTAACTATTGTACAACGCTAGTTTTGTCCGTTGATATTTGTTTATATGGTCACATGTTAAAAGAAAAATTGTTAGCTCACAATATAGTAGATTAGATCAGATCGTAAATTTAGCGGCTAAAACACAAGATATCAAAATGTCAAAGCGAAGTAGACAAACGAAGTAAGTTGAACTATTGGTAATGACCAACCGAATAAAGTTACTCTAGATAGAAATCGAATTCCCTTTTCGGTAGGATCCTTTTTTATACGACCAAGGGCAATTTTGCGATTTTCTGATAAGAAAAAAAAAAAAAAATACAATCGATGGTGAATTAACTTCTGTCGGTGTTGTATCGACCGTGGCATGTCCTGATGGTATCTCCTGTTAACATTCCTCTAACAGACCCAGTCGAACTTAATAATACGGAAATGTATCAGACTGTCCAGTTCCAGGGGGAAAAATATAATAAAATAAAAAAACAAAAAGTATTACGAGTCACAATGTTCTTGATCTTGATACTGACATAGTTGAAAAATAAATCATGCGAGACTGACTTTGTTCGTTTTACAGTTTCGTTTCATACATTCACCACCCTGTGAGCTGACTGAAAAGCCCCAAGTCCGACGGACTTGTTTGTTAGACCTTTAATAGTTTAATAAGGTCACTAGTGGGTGCAACCTAAATTTAAATTCGTCTTATGTATATAATAATGAATGTAAAGTTGATGATTGGACAAGTCAGGAATTTTAGTCCAGTTTTAATAGATCAATTGATTAATAGGAAAATATAGAGTGTGTACGTGTGTGAAAGGTGTGAGTGAGACAGAAAGCGAGAGAGAGAATACGGATAAGGAAAAATAGACAAACGAGGAGATGGGAACAGAAATAATGATATATGGTAGATAGTAGACAAAGAGTGTAAGAACGAGAGAAAGATATATATATATATATATATATATATATATATATAGAGAGAGAGAGAGAGAGAGAGGAGTAGATGATAGGGAAAGGGAAAAATAGACAAATATGGAGGTGGCGTCAAGAATAGTGATAGGATGGAAGATAGACGAAGAAAGAAAAATAGAAAGTAAGAGAAAATGGAAGAGAGCGTGTGAAATGAGAAAAAGTGAGAGAAAGAGAGAATAAGAGAGAGAGTAGGTGATAGGGAAAAATAGACAAATATGAAGATGGTGACAAAAATGGTGATAGATGATAGATAGACGAAGAAAGAAAAATAGAAAGAAAGAAAGTAAGAGAAAATGAAAGAGAGTACCTGAAAAGGGAGAGAGAGAGAGAGAGAGTAGATGAGAGGGAAAAATAGACAAATATGGAGGTGGCGTCAAGAATAGATATAGGATGGTAGATAGATGAAGAAAGAAAAATAGAAAGAAAGAAAGTAAGAGAAAATGAAAGAGAGCACGTGAAAAGAGAGAGAGAGAGAGAGTATGTTAGGGAAAAATAAACAAATATGGGGATGGTGTCAAAAATGGTGATAGATGGTAGATAGACAAAGAAAGAAAGAGAAAATGAAAGAGAGTGCATGAAATGGGAGGGAGGGAGGGAGAGACAGAGAGAGAGAGACACACAGAATGATTTTTTTGTTTTAAGGAAAGAGTTGGTGACGTATTGTGGAGAATGGGTTCAGGTTTTTGACAAATTTCGAGATAAAGATGGAAAAGCTTGTTTATCTCAAATATTTGAGGTGAGATTAATATGCTGTCCTCCACAAATAAAGTTTTTGAAATCAAAGAAATCATACTAACTTTTTTTTATAGGAAGTCAGATCTCAAGGAATTCACCCTTGTCAGGATCCAAGATTTTTTACCCTATTCCAGTCTATTAAGTTGCAAAATGGAAAATGCTTTCCGGAAGCAAAAATAGATTTTCCCACATTTGAAGGGTGAGGCGACGCAATTACAATTTTTTTCAAGTCTTGATAACAAACTTGATAATTTAGGCTAGTGAAAAACCATGACCTATTTGGGAGAGCTCTCAAAAAGAATTTGGTCATACCAGATTTGGAAGAGTTCGAAAAAATTCTACGGCTTATTTTTCTGGCACAGCTGGTGGATAATACTGGAACGGTGAGTCTGGTGATTAAAGGTGATTGAACTAATAATTATTTTCAATTAATTAAGGTTTTTGGTTGAGATAAAAAAGCAAGTGTCACAAGCGGTTTTCAAACCCAAGACCTTCAGCTAAATATGCTACTGCTCTACCACTTAAGCTATCATGAGCTCGATTCCCTCGGATGCCAACTTCCCATCTCAATCCCACCTTTTGAATTTTCCCTCCTTTTTGCAATTTTTTTTTTTTACTTTTTATCTCAACCAAAAACCTTAATTAATTGAAAAGAATTTATTTGGTCCAGCGGACCACGAAACCTAATAAAATCTAATAATTAATTTTGCCCCACCCTCTTGTACTTCAAGGTACAACATAATGAATCCATGCGGAAAAAATTTAAATATTAATTAAAACAGGTTGTTAGAAAATTTCTCATTAAATTCATTTTTATGTTAGCCATTATTTTCAATAAATTTGGCTACACTCACACAGTTATAAGCAGAGTGAGGCAAGAATTCATTTCTGGAATTTTTCCTTTACGAGCGATGTGCAGTAGTGTTGTATCTTTGCTTCATTCTGGAACTAAATCAAATTCCAAATTTCATCTTCTCCAGCTATCGCACTTCCTTTAAAAAGATACAGCTCAATTTTTATCAGACACTCTTTTTTTTCTAATGATGATTGGAAGGTTGGTAATAAAAGATTAGTCAATGAGGTCAAATAAGGAATAGTAATTGACTATACCATGCTTTGATGTTTTTATTGTTCGAAAGGAATTTAGTACCATTGTACCAAGTGCAAGAATGTATTGAATAAAATTTCAATTAATTTGGACAAATAATGTCTACAGTCTTTCTTTCCTTTTTATTGATTTTTATGAATCTTATTCAAGGAACCAAAAATTTACAAGACAATATGCAACCCATCTTCCAAAGATTCATGGGGCTTGGCCATGTTCAGCATAGAAGGTCAGAAAGCATTGTTTGGAGACTCTGATGTGTACTTTACCATGCAGTCCTGCAGGTAAATGGCAATTACTGATTTTGTTCAAATTATTTGTAAATTTGGACCCCTTGTTTCAATTTAGTTGGCCACTGCTCTATGCTTTTATGTTGGATACAGTCGGAGCTGACGAAGTTCATCAATACTGTAGCTATGAACCAACACACGCTTCTTTTGTCATCACTGATCTTACAAGAGAAGGTAAACATTCTTGTTTAAACAATGTATTTTTTTTAAATCAATAATTTGAATTTTTTATGACCAGGCAAACCTTTCAATCCTCTAACACTTGGAGGTGTATTAATATGCTGTGCTATTTGGCAAGCAATTGCCTTCCCAACTCTCGCGTATGCTGAAAAATTTGAAAAATTTCTTTGCTTTCTAATGGTATGAGAAATGATGAAAAGATCAATTTTCTTTTAAATATAAAGTTTTATTTAAAGGAAATGTCCGATGGGGAGAAACTCAACTGCAACAATCTTGTTGTTATCGATGAGAGGGAGCGGGCTTTCGCAGTTAAAGCTGTTTTAAATGTGCTCTTGAATGAGCATTGTTTCCCTCCAGGATGTGACCCAGTGAAAATATTGGAATTTTTCTTCCAGGTAAATAAATTGAAGAGAATTATATTGTATCTTACATTTTTTTTTTTTTTTTATCCAATAGATCAATTCAATAGAAGTCAATGCTCAAAAACTGGCTCTCATGGCTGCAACATTGGCGAATGATGGAATCCACCCCATCACCGGAAAGCAGTTGATCTTACAAGATAACAACGTAAACGTCCTTTCTGTATTGCAAACTTGTGGTATCGACCATACAAAAGATAATTTTCTCTTTGAGGTATTTAAACTTTCCTGGAATCAAAATGAACAGAGTTTGAAAGTTTCATTTTTTGTAGGTAGGCATACCAGCAATTACAGCATCCACAGGAGCGGCTATCTTCATAGTGCCTGGTTTCTTTGCAATCGCTTGTTATTCTCCTCAGTTGGAAAACTGCGATATGAGCAGAAGATCATTGAAATTTATAAAGGTTTGTGTTTAGAAGATGTTCCACTGACAAATAATAATTTAATTTTTTTCAGACCCTTGCTACTTTTTACAATTTCCACCCTTTTGATAATAGTCTTTATTTGAAAACTTTGGGTGGTTCTAAGCAAATTGCTACGACTTGCAGCATCAACTGTGCTCTGTTCAACGCGGCCACAAATGGTGAATTGGACACAGTTGCACGGTAATCAAATATCATTGGATCTGCAAAAAAAACAACCTTATTTATTTATTTTTTTTTTTAGTCTTATTACTGCAGGGACAAACCCAGGCATGCGAGATTACATGAAAAGGACTATTCTTCATGTTGCTGCTTCATATGGACATACTGCGTTGTGCAAATTTATTGTAGCCAACTGTCCCAATATTATTGATGCTCGAGACATGTACATTCCATTTTCATTCCCTTCATGTTTATTACAAATGAATAATTTGTTTTTATCTTCAGAATGGGTAGAATGGCAATAGACGATGCGATCACCTTCGAACATTCTGAAATAGCTACTTTCCTGAAGAATTGGACTGAATTGAGAAAAGGTGGCAATGAAGAGTTGATGAAGACGGCATTAGTCAACAATCCCACCTAATTTTCTATGTGAAAATAAACACTTCTTTCTTAGAACTAATCTTCAAGCGTGTTTTGTTTCTCTGCCTAATGTAGGAAATGTTCGAGTTGATAACGGTTCCTTAACCCACTTATATAAAAAAAAAACTTGTTACATTTAAAAATCAAAAATGTTACTTGTTTGGTCTGACAAGATAGAAAAACATTTGATTAACACATGACGAATGTTAAAAAATAAATAAAAATCTTAATATATTAAAACAAAAAATCCAAGATTGTACTACTATTACAGATTTTTACAAGAAACTTACACCTGAATTTAATAAAAGACCAAAATAAATATTTCAGCATAAATAGCAAAGAATTTTAGCAAAAGCAATGGCTAGAATTTTAATAACCATTTACTCTTTTAAAAATAAGAAGAATGATTTTTTTTTAAAGTTGATCAAACACAAACATATTTTGCATAAATCTTATTTATTGAAACTATTTTATATAATGATCAAAGTCTTAACAATTCCAAAAAGCCTCTCTAGTTGCAACAAGCTGTAGCATACATAATAAAATAAGTGTTTTATTCTTGCATTTTTAATGTTTTGTCTGTTGTAAATTTTCTTGTAACAAAATTTACCTTTCTATGAAAATACAGATGATTTGCTGTCCAAAGCTTTTCTGTCAACAGAACATATTGGTTTTAAATTATTATTTTATATTTCTTTGGGGATGGTTAGGTTTATATTTCTTTAGCCTTAAAACTTACAATTTAAAAAGAAGATTTTTCTTAGCGGTGTTCTCTCTATAAATCAATTAAGTGTACAAAATACCACTTGTAAATTCTCACCATGAATGGTGACAATATCGAAATAAAAATTGCCGATGTCTTCAATGTTATCAGGCCTGAACTAGAGAGTGATTTACCCCTTCAATTACTCCTTGAGGTAAGTGGTTAATTGTTTTTACCTTAGCATGCATTGTCATATTTAGTAGACTGTAAACGTTTAACAATGCTTTCAGAAACTTGAAAATGCTGGGATTTTGGATCAACGAGACCCTAGACTTGAAAATCTGAGAAGTGTTATTAAAGAAATTGCAGGAAAGTCAAAATGCTTTTACGAGATACAAATCAGTCTTCAAGGATTTACAAAGTGAGATATTCAGTTGAAGTAAATTTTTGTTAGTATTTTTTTCTTTTTTTTTCAAATTCACAGAATAGTAAACGTCAATCGGGAACTTTTGCTACCAGCGTTTTTGGACAATTTAGTGATACCGAAATTTCTTGATTTTGTGTGCAAACTTCAAAATCTTTACGAAAACGAATTGAACAATGATTCTGGAGAGGTTAGTACTCTTTTGGAAGTTATCAAATGCACTAATCCCCCGCTTAATCCATTGATCCATGACACAGTTATTATGTTAATCTAAGCAAATGAAATCTTATCTCATATTTTTACGATGTTGCACCATATTTTACATTTGTAAGCCTTGTTAAATTTTGTTCAAAATATATTTGTTTTGAAACAAAAAATAACCCCTAACTGAAATAGGGTGAGATTAGAAATAATGAATCCTTGTAGAAAGCTTTCAATATTTTTTAAACTTTCTAAAGTTTTCCTATTGTTTAAACATTCCTAATGTTTTTATAGGTTTCTCTCAGTCCTTCTGCTTGCATTGACAACCCTGTGGATACATGGGGAGTGGCAGTTACAAGTGTAGACGGGCAAAGATGTTTTATCGGTGATTCTGAGAAACCTTTTCTTCTTCATTCATTATGGTAAGTTAAATAAAACTTTAAATATTAAAAAAGGGATCTTTAGACATTAAAATTGCAGCAAACCATTGATTTATGGTATGGCAATTGATGAATTAGGGGTTCTCGAGGTGGAGAAATACATAGGACATGAACCGATTCATACACAAAAAGATATTTTATGTTTGGACTCCCAAGGCAGGTACCTAAATTTATTCTTATAAAAATGGAATTTCCATTAAATGACCGGATTTTTTTTTTTGAATGCCCTTGATAAAGTTTTGTATAATTTTCTAATTGAAATTGGAATTTTCAGATAGACCTCGAAGCCCACTTCTCGACAGTGGTTTCTTAGTGCTGTGCTTCTTGCTTTTTCGAAATAAAGACTACGCAAATACAGTCGAAGTTCACAGAAAAGTTTTCCGTTATTTTAATGTAAAAAGCATGATTTTTCTCAATCACAAGTGTTTATTATTAATTTATATATTATTTAGGCATTAGCCGGAAATGAATATTGCCAACATAGAACACAAGTTTATATGGCTGCAAAGCAATCCGGTTTCCATCCATTTGCTCAGGCCAATTTGCTTGTAGCTATGGACAAACTTGCAATGGACCCTAACTTTAATGAAGCTTGTGATTTTTATTATGAAGTATGCAATGAAGGCTTTTGTTTTTACATTCTCACTCTCTATAAATATATTTTATTTTAGGCTCACTCGTTAGAAACAAACTGTGAAAGTTTAAGTTTAATAGCAGCAACACTCGCCAACGGTGGAATAAATCCTTTGACATTAAAACAAGTGTTATCTCCAAATGCTGTAAAATATGTCCTCTCATCGATGTATACAGCTGGACTGTATACATTTTCAGGGAAAAGTTCATTTCTGGTATTTTAAATTAACCCTCTTGGCTGTCCACATTGCAATAAAACTAACGTAGTTTCTTTATAGATGGGCAATCCAGGGAAATCGGCAAGCTCTGGAGCAATTATGTTTGTCATCCCTGGAGTTCTTGGTATCGCCTTATACTCACCAAAATTAAACAAGGAAGGGATTTCTGTTAGAGGGTTAAGTTTTATGAAAGTGTGTATACATTCCTTTTGAAAATTATCAAAAAAAAGTTTGGATTCTGTAATACAACAATAATATAATTTGTAGGAATTTATCCGCACACAGAAATTCCACATGTATGCCAACTTGACTTCAAGAGTTAAAAAGAAGTTTCCAGGAAGGAAAAACACGCTAGATGAATGTAACACTTATTGTGAGATGTTTTCAGCGCTGGCATCACATGATATTCCAAAAGTCGTAAAGTAAGTCATTTCCAGATCTTTTAAAACTCTTAAATAACAAGGTATTTAAGATTGTAACATTTCAGGCTGGCGGCGACTGACATGGTTCACTCTAAAGATAACGAGAAGAGGACAGTCCTCCATGTCGCTGCTGCAATGGGTTACTATGAACTTGTAAAACACATTGCTTCAAAATACACTTATTTAGTCAATGAAAAAGACAGGTATTGCATTCTGTACATTAAAAAAAATTGTATATAGCTTTTAAATAAAAAATTATTGATTCTAGGTGGGGTAGAACACCACTCGACTATGCTAAAATATCAGGATCCCATGTAGTTGTTGACATATTGCAAGAATGGGAAAAAATTATGCAACCTCAAAAATAAATTACTCAGAAAATAGGCCTGTATTGAACAACACCCATTCAATTTGTTGTTTTCTTAAAAAATCTATGTTTTAAATCATAAGTAAACCTAATTATTAATTTAAATTAATTTGTAATTTTTATGTAACGAGTGGTATGAAAAATTGGTGACACAAGCAGGACAACCCATGAACCTTTTGCTCTATACCCCAGTACTCTAACCACTTGAGTTATTGTGATTAAGTGGATAGAGCACCAGGGTGTAGAGCAAGAGGTCCTTGGTTCAAACCTTGCTCGTGACACTAATTGTTCATTCCTGCAACAATGCCTTAATTTACATGAAAAGTAAAAATTTAAATCATTACTTCGGTTAATTAGGACGAACTAAAAAACATGGATTAATCTAATTATTAATTAATATTCTTTTAGAACTTCCTCGCTTTTAGTCAAGTGAAGTTTACAATTGAAAAAAATAACATAACTAATTTGATGGTGTGAATAATAATGATTGTTATTATAAAAGTATTTCGGCAAGAATTGGGCTTGACTCGACAATCAGTATCTCGAAGAGAAAGGATGCCTTTGTGATAATCTTATCATCACTATCTTATTTACGTGTTTGAAATGAATAATAATCATTATTAACATTTTCTGTTTGTAGAGAATTGTTACCCTTTAACATTTCAAGTCGCACTTCGGATTCATTAAAACTATGAGAAGTCGAAAAAACAAAAGTTTAGCTATGAAAGGATTTGCTATACTTATATGATTTTTTGATTATTCATGTTTAATAATTTTGTTTTTTGTATCTGGAATTATAAGACAAAAGAAAAACAAAAACTAATATAAAGAAGGTAATTAGTAATAAAAACATTTCCTAATAATTTACCTTACTGCAGACTGATATTTTCTTAAAAATCTAAAGGCCTCCAATTCATAAAAATAGATTGATTTGATTGTTCAGTTTTTGATCCTAAATTTTTTAAACATCCAGGTTATATTCACATGAAGCATTCTTAACTTAGAAGATTATTGAGGAGTTGAGGAGAACAATCTCAGAATGAATTTGTTGAATTATTTTGTTTTAGCTGATTCCCATTTAAACATTTTCCTTTTTTAATATTTTAAATTAATTGTAAAATAATATATAAATTTAAAAATATGCATATTAATTTATTAATAATAAACCCATTGCTGCAATACAGTACAAGTTGTGCAGGTTGAACTTGATTCTTCAATTTTTTTAAATCTATACTGTTGTACATCTTTTGAAGCTTTTTGGAAAAATGGTCGATGCTTATATTTATTGATATCACTGCTATCATGTGCAAATGTTGCAATTTTTTCACCACTCATCCAGGGACAATCACTGTTACTGTTGTTAAGTAAAATACTGGACCTAGTATGCTCCCTCGGGGCATTCCAACATTTATTTTTCTTAGTTCTAAACAATGATTCTTTTATTTACCTCAGTTAAGTACAAAGTCCTTCATGCCAGACCTTATCAAAATCTTGTGTTTTTTTAGAGATTCCCAGTAGTAACAATATTGGTCTATATGATGTCGTTTTTCTTAGCTTTGGTTGATGATTTCTGCTATATACAGGGTGTGTAAAAATTGTGAATGATGGAGTGAGTGTGGTGTTATTTAAAAAAGGATTGGGTGTATCAACTTCTATAGTCCACCTATTTAAGTCGGAAATGATTAACTTTGGCAAAAAATGATCTTATACAAAACCCCAGTCAATTTTGGCTAGGAATCGCATGGTGGTAACAAATTTAACATAACTTTATCCTCTAGCTGGGAAATGAGATTAACTTTGTTGTTTTAAACGAGAATGTCATATTTTTGTTGTACAGTTTGATTCTAGGGCTTATTTTATGCCACTTTAACTGAAAGGGAAATTTTGATAGGATCGACCATTTCAGAGTTCTGAGTTATGCCTGATGGAAGACGCGTGGGGGTATACTTTTTGTAACAAGATAACCGGGCATAACTCTGAAATGGTCGATCCTATCAAAATTTTCTTTTCAGCAAAACTGGCACAAAATAAGCTCTAGAATCAAATTGAAAATATATATGTGTGATATTCATCCTTAGCCAAAATTAACTTGGGCTTTGTATAAGACCATTTTTTGCTAAAGTTAATCGTTTCTGAATTAAATGGGTGGACTATAGAATTTGATACACCCTATATACTGAGGAGATGACAGACTGATCATAATATTAAATAGCCATTTGTAATTATATATTTTTATGTATATTTTTACCTTTGTTTTCTCTTCCTAAAAAAGTTTCTTTAAATTAGGGGTAGTCCAACCGACTCGTGGTTTTATTTTTTTTTTTTTTCTCCGTTTTGGGCTATTTTTTCTGTTTCTCTCCATCATCAGAAAACCCTAGCAGTCTAGCCTACCATCCCATTGCCTTCTTTTAAGGTAAAGAAATTTCCAAATGTTTCTCCTCAAAAAGGCATTACAAACCAAAGGAAAAACTTAAATTGCCTCTGTCCTTGGACTACCCCTCCTTAATTTAAAGAAACTCTTTTTAGGAAGAGAAAAAAAAGTGCAAAATATACCTAATAATCTACTGACAATCGACGATCAAATCTACTACAATAATATAAATTATATATTTTAAAAAGTACAAAAAAAGTAGTGACCAATAAAAACAGTTCCTACTACTGCAAAGAATACAAATTTGCTTCAAAATTGAACAGCCTGCAGTTTATAATGACACTATTAATAGTCTATCCTCATTAATTCATTAAATTATTTAGTTTTCTCTAAAAATATTTTTCAACTTTTGTTCATATATTCACGTACTTCTAAAAATACTGCAGGTCACATCCACATGAGATTTTACTTCACCTCAGGATACCGAGAAAAACAATATTCTTGTAGGTCAAATTGATTAGATTATTTTTATTCGCAGTAATAAAAGGCTATTTTACATATTTCCCTTATAGGATGAAAAATAAATAATACAAACACCAGTACCAGTACCCTTACTGCAAAGTTGTTTTGCTTAAAAAATGAAACATGTGCAGTTATGATGGCATTGTTAAAAGCTGAAAAATCATTTTCACCAAATGATTTTATCTTATTTTATATATTACCAACTCCACGGTTCATATCTTCTCTATTGATTGGTTAAAAAATTCCAAGATCTCCGTGGTTGAAAACCTTTATTCAATTTAGTAAATTACATGAACGTTTAGGGCTCCTGGCCCATCATCAGAACCTAAACATAGAGAAATCTCATGGTACAATTCCCAATCTGAAGGCATACCCATCAGTAACCTTCCGCGGATAGAGACTGAAGGTATACGCATATATGTATATATATAAAGAATATTTATTTAGAAATCGTGAGATGACAATAAAGAAAATGTTTTTCTGAAACCTACATCACACCAGACCGCATCTCATAATTTCTAAATAAATATCGATTAACGGTCACTAATCACCACACATATATAAAGAATCTCATTACCATGTGGTATACCAATGAGGTGACTAAAATAAAATATATGTTTCTATTACAGTTTTAAAACAATTTTGACGACATTCCCATCAACAAATAAAGGGGGTGGAAAAATAATATATATGTATCATTGGCATAGTCCAGGTATAAATACTTTTATTTAAAAAATTGGAAATTACCGATGGGGGTGCCTTCAGATAGGGAATTATACCATGAGATTTCTCTGTAGTTTCTGATGATGGGCTAGGAGCCCGAAACATCAGTAATTTACTAAATTGAATTAAGATTTTCAACCACGGAGATCTTGGAATTTTTCAACCTATCAATAGAGCAAATGATTTTTCAACTTTTGTCCAAGAAATTCTCACCATTTGAGAAAAAATCATCACGTGAGGACTACTAATCTCACCTTATACAGTTGATGAGGAAAGCATTCATTTGGTTTATTTTTGTGAATATAAACCGTTCAACTTTTGAAATAATCATTAATCAAAGGCATTTTTTTTTTTTTTTCAAAGCAAAACAAACATTTATAGGAAGATATTCTTTATGATGTTTATCATTAGAGGGCTTTTTTTTAATTGAGGGTCCATTTTCGCCGTAGGTCTAAAGTCCAGAAAACAAATTAATGCCTAATTAGAAAGGTCGTGCAGAGCCTTTCATGCCCGGTCGTTATTCCAATATCGTGAGTGTTATTTTAGTTATCGCATCGGTTGGAGATAAAAATGACTCATGGACTGAATTTCTACGACTTCTCCAACGATCAAAAACCAGTTTTATTCTCAAGCTCAACCCGTCCTAGCAGTAATAAACGCCAGAGGTCGCAGCTTATCCAGTAATATTATTTAATCCCATGCAAGCCAGCCTGGGGTCTGCGTCTGCCGAGTGATCCAGTGATAATTCACTCTTTTGTCAAAGAACGTCACGCCACTGGAGAAGCAGAAGCAGCACCGACGCGTTCTTCTCGCCTCTCTCTCTAATTTCAAATTTTCCGAGCCCAAGTCTGACAGGGAAAATTTACTTATTGGGTCTTAAAAAGTAAAAATGAGTGTAATTAAAAGTTATGACTCGACAGCCGAGCGTTTACCTGACACAGAATCAAACGACACAGGTGACAATTCAGCCAAAGTGAGTCATTTTTTAATTTTTTAATGTTATATGTCTAGGCATATGTCAAAAAATTATTTTTCCTTTTTATAGGATGTATCATATAAATAACAATATATGATACAATATATATTGTTGCATTGTGTAATAATAATCAATAAATAATGTATGATAATCAATATTTATATATTTACAACTGCAGGCTAAATACACTTTTTAACTTAACATTAACCCTTTTTAATTTCAAATTAACCCTTTCTTTAAAGTAATAAAAAAACATAAAAACCATATGAGCAGACATTACAATTAAAATTGTATAAATATACAAATATTGGGTTGTTAAACTTATATTAATTAAAATTAAGTTTTAATTGATTGTAGTTTTTCATCTCAACCAAGATCTTAGATGAAAAGTACAATTAATTAAAATAATCAATAGGTTAATACATACATGGGTTGTTATTACAAGTAAAATAAAAAATTATAAAAAATTAAATATTTAAATTAAAGTACAATTAATTATGATAGACAATAGGTTAATTATTACTGCTAAATACACACTGGGTACTTATTAAAATAAAAAATGATATAAAATTGAATATTTAAATTAAAGTACAATTAATTATAATAGTCAATAGGTTAATTATGACTACAAAATACACACTGGGTTGTTATTAAAATTAAAAAGTATATAAAATTAAATATTTAAATTAAAGTACAATTAATTATAATAGTCAATAGGTTAATTATGACTACTAAATACATACATGGATTGATATTACAATTAAAATTTAAAATTATATAAAATTAAATATTTAAATGAAAGTACAATTAATTATAATAGTCAATAGGTTAATTATGACTACAAAATACACACTGGGTTGTTATTAAAATTCAAATTAAAAAGTATATAAAATTAAATATTTAAATTAAAGTACAATTAATTATAATAGTCAATAGGTTAATTATGACTAATAAATACATACTGGGTTGTTATTAAAATTCAAATTAAAAAGTATATAAAAATAAATATTTAAATTAAAGTACAATTAATTAAAATAGTCAATAGGTTAATTATGACTACTAAATACACACATGGGTTGTTATTATAATAAAATTTAAAATTATATAAAATTAAAGCATTAACATTTAAAAAAAAAAATTATATAAAGGTTAAAACATTTCTTAAGAAAAACTGAAGTATAGAATGAGTTTAATTTGCCCCCTCCCCCTATTTCTTTTAATCTTTTTTATTAACCATATTATTTAAACCATGAGCAATTAACTTACTACATAGCCATTAAAATGATAAATCAATAAATTGGTTCTGGGTTGAAGAAGTTGGAGATTTTTTTTTTCTAAAAATCTTATAAAAAACACATCATTTTATCTTTACACTTTGAAAGTGATATAGTTTATTCGGATTTACAATTTCATAAAATTTTACACTGTAACGAGTACTTCATGTCAAATCACAATTAAAATTGAGGTTTATAACATTTCTGATTTTTATTTTTTTATTTTTTTTTATTTTTTTTAAGGGCAGGCCAAATTTGCGTAAATTCATCATATGCCTGTCAAACGTACAAACGTAAAGAATCTCTTTCTTGCTCAAGTTAAAACATCCTTTCATTAATCATTTAATGAATGCATCTATTGTAACAAGCAAAAGGTATGAGTTATGTTATAAAAAATTATGAAAGTCTGAAGAGAGAGAACTGTGAAGGGCTCAATATTTCTCCTTGAAGGACAAATGTCCAACTGTTTAGTATGGCCGGTTGTCTCCATATATGGAATTGAAGAAATAATTGAGATTGAATCAGTAAAATAAATTTAAAATCCTATTGAAGAAAAAATTAGTAATAACAATAAAAATTCATAATAATATAGTTTTTATGAGTTAGATCAAAACTATTTGGCTTAGTTGATTGAGAAACTAAACAAAAATCTTCATGCATGGGCGTTTTTTCCCAAAAAATAATGGAGAAACAGAAGTTAAACTCACCTGTGTAGAAAAGAGGAGAAAATTGAGAAAGTTTTATTTTATATATAATACTAATTGTTTATTTTATATTTTATTTTATTATTATTTTAAAGAGTTCATCAAGTCAAGTGGTGAATCATGGAATTAGCGCTCTCACAGCTGCTATTTTTATTGTGGGAGAAATGGCAGGGAGCGGGGTCCTCGCGCTGCCCAGAGCAGTGGTTGATGCAGGTATGTTTAATATTAAAAACCTTTGCCTCTTTATAAAATTTTTTATTATGTCATTCCTTTATATCTTATTATTAGAAAAAGTATGATTCCCAAACCAGCCTGTCAAACATTATTTCTACTCTGTTTTGCATAATTGTCAAAATATAACTAAACATTAATTTTTGTTTTACTTTAATTTTGTCTTTCACCAACATTTGAAGTTTTGCTCTTGTGTCAAAGCTTAGTAAAATTCATCTCAATTTTTTTTAAAAACAATATTCTATTAGAAACTGCAAATTTCTGATTACATGTAATTTACATATTAACTTGGTTGTATTGAGGTCAGATTAACTAAGCTTCCTCCTTTATTAACACGGTTCATTGAACCATTTGATTAGGTTTTATTTTTGTTTGAACATCCTGATTTGAATGTTTATTTTGGTTGAGAGTGAGATATCTAAAAAAGATCCATTATCTGTATACATTTTAAGACTGATGTTTTTTGGATTTTGTTAATCTTCTCGAATGTGAAATAACAAATTTGAAAAGTTAAAATGTATTCTATTTTTTACAGGGTGGATAGGTTTAATAATAATAATTGTTCTTTGCCTGACGGCTTGTTACGGAGGTACAAGGTTGGGCGTATGCTGGGAAATAATTGAAGAAAGGTATCCAGAATATAGGGGAATCACAAGAAATCCTTACCCAACTATTGCAAACAAAGCAGTTGGTAGATGGGGCAGGTAAGTTATAACTTGATTTTGGTTGAAGATACTTTTTTACTTTTTTATTTTATTAGTGTTCTTGTATCGGCGAGCATACAGATAACACTTTTTGGCGCTGGAATAGTATATCTTCTTCTAGCTTCACAAATTGTCCAAGATCTCATGAAACCACTTGTGCCAAAGCTGACATTCTGCACATGGTTTATAATATTTGCCATTATCATCACACCACCTATGTGGTTAGGCTCGCCAAAAGATTTCTGGTAAGATTCTCCTAAGGCGGCTGTAAAAGGAACAAATTTCCCGAATTTAAATCTGTAATTGAGAATTTTTTATATTAGGATAGTTGGAGTGGGGGCAGTAGTTACAACGACACTTTCATGCGGTTTTATTTTTATTCAAATGATGTTGGATGGAATTCACCAGACTGATCCTGTTCCTCATAAGTCGAAATCCTTCCTTGAATTTTTTCTATCTTTTGGTATCATACTGTTTTCTTTTGGAGGAGCTTCTACATTTCCTACCATCCAAAATGATATGTTGAACCGGACCAGATTCAAAAGAAGTGTCTTCGGTGCATTTTGCGGTACGGCCTGGAATATTAACATAAAACCAACAATCAATAAACCATCTAAATTACAGTTATTCTGCTTCTCTATCTACCAATCTCTATTGGTGCTTTCTTCATTTATGGTGACAACACAAATGCAAATATAGTTTTATCACTCAGCAGAGGTCCTTACGTTTTGCTGGCAAATATTTTTATGGCGTGTCACCTTATACTTGCCTTCCTTATCGTCGTCAACCCAGTTTGTCAAGAAGTAGAAAATATATTTAATACACCTCATGGTACGTTATTTCTCTGTGTTATTTTTAAAATTACCCTTCTTAGAAAATATTTTTGGTTTTTAGAATTTGGCTTTAAACGCTGTCTGATAAGAACATGCATGGTGATCATGATGGTTATCATTGGTGTATCGATACCATCATTTGCTAAGTTATTATCATTAGTGGGGGGCTCAACAGTCACCCTGTTGACATTCGTCCTACCAAATTATTTCTACATGAAACTCTGCGATCAAGAATGCGACAGTTGGACCAAAAGGTAATTTTTTTATTTATTTATTTTTTCAATTTGACAATTGATCAATCATTTTGTTGTTTCAGGGATATTCCATGTTACATGAGAGTTTATATGTGGGAACTAATTTTCATCGGTATATTAGGAGGAGCTGCATCAACTTATTCCGCATTCCAATCGATATTCGATTCTGATTCAATGAGCAAGCCTTGTTATTCTTTTTGATTTAAATTTAGTTACACTAAATTTACAAAATAAATAGCACATTCCATATATAATGATTGTGATATTAATTTATTATGTTGTATGAGATTCATTTTGTTTAAGCAATTAAATACTGTGTTTTTATAAATAGAATGTTTGAATTGAACATTCTAGAATAAAATTGTTTAATTAACCATTATTTCAAGTGATATTAATTGTAACTATTTTGTACCATGAGGGTTGGTTATTAGATTATTGTAAACTATTTTCTTATAAACTATCACTTTAGGCAAGTTACTTTTTATTAGCTTTCTATAGAAAACCCAAGATCTCAATGTGAATCGTTATTTGTACATAGAAAATGTTTTACTAGAGAGAAAGTGGAGAGCACGCAATACAGATTAATTTATATTTGTACTATAATATTATTTCAGGTGTCCTTAACTGAATATGATAAGTGCTTTAATAATTATTAGTCAAATTTTGAGAATAAAATTATATTATTGTAAATAAAATCATTATTTTTTTAAATATTTTAATTTTCCCCTGGACATGATTATAAAGTCTCTTAACCAAACCAATATTAATAAAGTTTTTCAGATTTGGATCAGCTTTTCTCCTTTGGAAGATTTCACCATTTTTTCCAAATTTTCCCAGTAAGCGTACTTTTTCATAAACTGTATGAATCTTTTTCTATTATAAAAAAAATATTGTGATTATTCCCTATACTAACAACCTTTGTAATTTCCCTAAAAAGAAAATTATGTACAAAATCTAAAATATCACTCTGAACTTAAAATAACATATTTTTATAATTGTTACTATTTGTCTAAACATCTTGTCCGAATGCTTTTTTTCTTCCTTTGGGAAATAGTGTAATAAAATTAACTTTTTTATGTAATAGTATTTGTTAAAAGGAAAAAATAATGTTCCGAAGTCACAAGCTTTTGCGAGTCCGTTGTTCCCACTTAGCCATAAATGTGATATCTCATTGTTACATTCATTCAGATTATCAGTCAATGATATAATAAATTCATTTAAATCAATTTTTTGATGGATCTAATACCCTAACGTAGTAGACACCCTTAGGGCACTTGTAATTTTTGTTTTCTTTTTTTACACCATTTATTTTTAGTTTTTAGCGAATTAACACTCAAAAAGTTTTGTCTCCATGAAGAAAAATATCTGTTGATTACTCAAGCACAAATTCCTCTTAAGGTCTATAAAATAATGAAGAGGGTAATAATTTACATTTTGCCAATTGCAAATGTGGTCAAATTGCTGATAATGCATTATTGATAAACTAAATTAAATAATATATAGAAATAATTTCTAACATTGACAACTAATTTTTCTAATTTGATTGTTTCCAAGTACGGAAGTACATTTGGTAAAATTCTCCTGAATGTAAAGTGTGTCACTCACCCTGCTTATAACCCTGATGAATCACTGAAGATGGCAAAATGTTGAAACATGTCCGACAGACATACTTAAACTACCGATCAACAAAATATTTCACACTTTAAAATCTTTTAGTTGGAAAATTGGATGTTGCTTTCCTTTATTTTGTTGTATTTTTTTAATTTTATCATTATTGATTATTTTTTTAGCTAACTTATCCTTGCTGGGTTGGTAGGTAGATAAAAGATGATCAGTAACGATTTTATTACAGAATTTATCACCCCTCAGACCACCAAAATCAATATTTTGATTTATTCAAATAAATATCTCTTCCTAACTCCAAAATTATTATCTTTGCTAAGCGAAAAATTTATTTTTCATTCATAAACAGCAAATAATGCACAAAAGTAAAATATTATTCTGCCAGATGAGCAAAAAAAAGTCTCAGAATTACGATGATTTGTCTTAAGATTAAAAATAAACAATAAAAGTGAAATCCCTGACCTAAGGATTAGTCCATACAAATCTAAACACAGTAATCAAACCCATCGTTGTATTTACATTATAAAAATAATAAAACACCAGCAATGATAAAAAGGTAAAGGTAAATATCTTTCTTATTATTCCACCTTATCTTTATTCCACTCCATTTGAAAATGAATTTGTCTTTTAGATAACAAAAGCGAATGAGCCATGGCTTACTATGACAGCGTATCCAACACCATTCATATAAATAACATTGATGTAGTGATTTTTTGCCTTGTTTTCTTTAAGTTTGTAATTATGCATCCATTCATGTGATTATAACAAATTGTGCTGGTTTATTCAGATCAGATCAAATCAAGTGCTTCGAGCCACTCGGAATCATGGGATCAGTGCAGTTACAGCAGCAATTTTTATTGTCGGGGAAATGGCTGGGAGTGGAATTCTTGCACTTCCGAGAGCTGTAGTTGATGCAGGTACTTATTATTATAACTTTTTCAACAATTGTACCAAAAAACTCCTTCCCAAGGAATGTTTGGAATGTTTTAAATTAAGCTAAGTTTAAAATGTTTTATTTTGTTTAAATCTAAAATATTAACATGCTAACATTTTCACTATGCTGTAAGAAGTAAAGGATAAAAGTAATCATTATTATATGATAATAAATGTGTAACCAGGACTTCATATAATAAAATAATTAATAAAATTAAAATAATAATAATAATAAGCCGTTAAAATGCCCTTAAAAATTAATAATAATAATAATTACAATTAATTAAGGTTTTTTAGTTGAGATAAAAAAGTCAATGGCACAGCTACGACTTGAGGTCACGATAGCTCAAGTGGTAGAGCAGCAGCGTATCTAGCCAAAGATCGTGGGTTCGAATCCCGCTCGTGCCATTGACTTTTTTATCTCAACTAAAAAACCTTAATTAATTGTAATGTATTAATTGGTCAAGCGGATCACAAAATTAGTGAAAATAATAATAATAATAATTTACAGGATGGATTGGGTTAATAATTATTGTCATATTTTGCGTGAATGCTTGCTTTGGTGGTACGAGGTTAGCACTTTGTTGGGAAATAATTGAAGAAAGGTACCCTGAATATAAAGGAACAACAAGAAATCCTTATCCAACAATTGCAGATAAAACTGTCGGGAAATGGGGTAGGTGCGTTATTAAAATTTAATTTTTTTTCTTTGAAGTAATACTATACATTTTTTTTAAATTAGTGTTTTAGTGTCTGCAAGTATTCAAATAACTCTGTTTGGAATTGGAATTGTATATCTGCTTCTGGCATCTCAAATTATACAAGACCTACTGAGACCATTTTTACATCAATTAACATTCTGCACATTGTTTATAATTTTTTCACTTCTCATTACACCACCGATGTGGTTAGGTTCGCCTAAAGATTTCTGGCAAGTTTCTTCAAGGAAGATTCTTTTTAAAATACTAAATATCTTTCATAATTTTAGGTTTGTGGGACTTGGGGCAGTTTTGACTACAGCACTTTCTTGTGTGTTCATCTTTATCCAAATGGTCAAGGATGGTCTTGGTCATGATTTCAGGGTGTCACACAGACCAAAATCATTCTTTGAATTTTTTATATCCTTTGGAATAATTCTGTTTTCCTTCGGAGGTGCTTCAACGTTTCCAACTATCCAAAATGACATGGTAGACAGGACAAAATTCAAAAAAAGTGTCATCGGTGCTTTTTGTGGTATGGATTTTACCAAATATTAATATATTAACAATGTGAATGTAACTTTTTTTAAAATGAATTGTAGCAATTCTTCTTCTTTATTTACCCATTGCATATGGAGGATATTTTATTTATGGGGACAATACAAATTCAAACATTGTACTGTCGCTTAATAAAGGGATGTATGTAACCTTAGCTAATGTATGTATGGCATTTCATCTCATACTTGCCTACCTCATTGCCATCAATCCTGTATGCCAAGAAGTTGAAAACATTTTTGACATACCCAATGGTAATTTGTTTTCCTTTAACATCATTGTATTTTTAAAATGTGTTTATTTATTTATTAGTATTTTTTAAAGAGTTCTGTTTTCTACGTTGCTTAATAAGAACGTGTATAGTACTTTTAATGGTTATCATTGGCGAATCAATACCATCATTTGCAATGATATTAGCCCTTGTGGGTGGCTCTACTGTCACTCTGTTAACATTTGTCCTACCAAATTATTTCTACATGAAACTCTGTGATCATAAATGCGACAATTGGACAAAGAGGTAGATTCCTATGTTGTTGTTTTTATTTATTTATTTTTTATTGCATTTCTATTTTAATTTATATATTTTTTTTATTACTACAGGGAGATCCCCTTGTATAAACGAATTTACATGTGGGAAATAATTTTAATAGGCATTCTAGGAGGAGTGGCATCGACCTATTCAGCAGTTTTGGCCATATTTCATTTGGATTCGATGAGCAAACCTTGTTACTTGCCATGAGGACAAGCATGATATGAATTATAAATAGTTACTTGAAATTAATAAACAAATCCTTTTAGAGCGATCACAAAATATTAAACAAACCTTTCATATAATAGTTAAAATTTGAGAAAATCAATTTTGAGTCAGTTATGATTAGTGCTATTCACAAAACTATTTACACTCATTTTCAATTGTTTATGTTTAATAGTATATACATAAAGCAATTCATTTGGAATATGATTCTAGCTCGAGGTAAGGATTATGTCCAGATCAGGTAAATAAACCTTTAATACAATTAATTGTCAAAAATGTATACTGAATAAAATCAATCTCAGAAAGAAGATAGGCTAGTTTTATTAACCTATAGAATGGTCAATTTTGTTAATTGTTTATTAATTTGTAAATATTTTGTTTTCTTGTATTTCTTATTGTTTGTATTTTCTTCTTGTCTATATAGAGGGTGAATGTATTTATTAGCATGAATGTTTAGCGTGAGAGAGCCAGTGGCAGAATATTAAGCAACCCATTGATCCTCAGTTAGGTTAGTTATTGTGGTGGGTGATGGCAGAATATCAAGTATTCTACTGCCCAGAGTGAACGGTAAAGAGGAAATAATATATATGAGTGGGGTTACATTGGGAGCTGAAATGACCTTTTGATCATATTTTTTATTGAATTTTAACATCAAAGGGTCGAATCAGTCCAGAGGTTGGGATGTCCCACTCAAGACCAATGGGTCCAGCAACATAGACAACCACCACTGTTGTGCCAAAACATTCCAGCTGAGTATCTCTTTAACAAGAGTATGAAAAGAGGACAGAGAAACTTACGGACAGCAGTAACTGTGCTCAGGGAGTTGGTGCAGACAAGGTAGGCAGCCCCTATGGTTTCAGATCAAATTGCATACAATTTCACTGGTGGTTGATATATCCACCTAATTGGTAAACAGTAACCCGGTCTCTCAGACATGCATTATATTTTCATAGGTCTTTCAGACTCAACATGGTCCTTCAAAAGAACCAGTAGTACTTTTACGAGGGAAGGTCCAAATTTTTCCAAATGAATTTTAATGTTGCTGATAATTATTATCATTAATAATGCTGATTAATTAAAATTAATAGCAACATAACACTGTCATTCTTTTTTGTTTTATATATCTATTAGTCATATTAATATCTTCTTTTAGTTTGACATTATTAATTTTATTACCATAACAGACCAATTTTATTTCATGCAATACTAGATGTTTTCTTGTGACTTTTTATTATCTGTTCTTCACCTATATGCTTATATATTTTAATTACAAGTTATATTAACATTTGTTATTGGCAAATTCTTATATTATATTAATAGCCAATTATATTAATGCACTTCAGTAATTGGTTTGTTTGAAGACATCCATTACTGTGAAGGGCTCATGGAAAACTGGTAACAATACATAGAGTTGGGGATAACTGAATTTTGTGGAGCCCTGTTTCACACAATATGTTTACACCATCTTCAAACATATTTATATTATTATAATTTAATATAGAAGGTAAATTATTTGTAAATAATTTAAATAAAAGAGTAAAAAAGTATGAGGGAATAGTACTAGTTAATTTAAAAAAAAATTACTAATGCAATTTGTATGCTTGTTTAATGAAATTTATGTTATGTTTTTTAATGTTGATGTATTGGTCAGGGTGTAATATACTGCGCCCTTTAAGAGCTATTGTAGCACATTGTTAGTCCTATTTCATCAAGGAACTTGATTAGTAGGCCCAGTTTTAGTTGTTGAATTTCTTCTACATTGGACATCCCAAAACACTTCCTCCTGTGGGCAAGTGTACGACAGTTTTTTTAATAGGTGGTGGTGGTGTCTCCTCTTCCTTTCTGCAGAATCTGCATGTGCCACAATGGATTATACCAATTTTCTTTAAATGTACATTTAGTTTGCAGTGTCCTGTTAAGATTCGCAGTTTTCGTGCTTCTTTTGACATATTCTATTTTATATACATAAACTTTAAACTAGTACTTCAACGTGGACCAAAGTCACCCTGACCACAGGTGACCCTGAATAAAAAAGTTGGATAATAGGAACGTATTTCTTCATTGCAGTCTGTTAAAATGGTTAAAAGGTGTGTCCACATCTAAATTATTTAAAAAAAGGAAAAGTAATATTCAAAAGAACTTTAGTTGTGTGCAATGTGACAAAAATGTATGTAGGGAAAATAGTAGTGGGCTTAATGAGCACCCTCCAAGGACGTAAAATTGATTTCCCTGCGTTATATTAGATATTTTATTTTGCATTAATTCTTAATAAGTGATTTATTTTATCATTTAAAAAAATGATTTATTTAATGTTTTGTGTATAATAAGACAACAGGAAAGGATTATAGATTATGGAAAAAAGTATCTAATTGATAATTCGTAAGGGATTTAATAGATAAGTTAAAAGTTTAGGAAGAGAAGAGAAAGGTTAAAGTTTTTTTATCTTCATCCGGGGCGGATAACGTTGGTGATAACGAGTTGGAACGGGGCGTAAAATGGCGGTCGGGATGAAGTTGGTCGGTACAATTTCATTATTTTTCCAAATAAACTTTATTCTCAACGTCGTCCCGTCAGAGACAGAGAGTCTGACACAATACAAACCGAACACGGTTTTAATCGAGATACTCGTCAGGAACAAGGCGCACACTTTGCCATATTTCCTCACGTATCTGGAAAGGCTGGAGTACCCGAAGGACCGGATTAGCCTCTGGTGAGTTGGACTTTTATCCATTTCTCGGTCCATGACTCGGTCGGGTCGGGGTTGGAACACGGTTGAAAACAAGTTCGGGTGAAAATTCTGCCAAATTGAAACAATAGGAACCCTTGTTTACGTTTACGGAGGCGATCCTATTATGGGAAACCTCCTCGCGTCACGGGTGATAACAAATTCCACTACGAGGTGCTACCTATTCTCCTCCTTTTTTCGATTGGATTGGTGTAATGTGCATCCCTTCCAACTTTGCCAGTATTGCCTTTTCCCCCAGTCCAACGATAAAACACCTGTATCGCCTCCTTCCACCTGTCTTCTGCCTACAAACTCTTCACTGCCCTTGAAATATAGAACTAAACTTTTTCGTTAATAAATGGTAATTTAAAAATTTTTATTTTTTGTTGAACTGTCATGAATTGTTAAAAAAGATCATGAATTATATAAAAGAAAGCCTCCGATTATACCATCATTTCAAAATAGAACAAAATATCTTTCACTTTCTTATTCTTAACATGTAATTTTTTATTTTCAAACTTTTTTGATGTATAACATATACAATTCTTATAAACATCTAATGGAATTTATGCTGGATACACCTGTACCATCTCCTTCTGTTCACTGACCTTGCAATATAGAACTAAATTTTTCCTTTAATAAATCATAATAAAAATTTAAGTTAAAAAATAGTATTTTTGTTGAATTTTCATGGATCGTTAAAAAGAGTGACGAATTATTAGAAAAAAAAATCCAAAGAAAACCTCCAATTATACCATCATTCCAAAATAAAACAAAATATCTTTCACCTTCTTATTTTGAACACATTATAATTTTGTATTATCAAACTTTTTTTTATGTATAACATATGCTATTCTTATAAACATCGAATAGAATTTTATGCTGGATACACTTGTACCATCTCCTTCCACCTGTCTTCTGACAAAAACTGTTCACTGACCTACAAATATAAAACTAAATTTTTCCTTTAATAAATCATAATAAAAATTTAAGTTAAAAAAATAGTATTTTTTGTTGAATTTCCATGGATTGTTAAAAAGACTGGCGAATTATTAAAAATAAAATAAAAAGAAAAGGAAAACCTCCAATTATATCATCATTCCAAAATAAAATAAAATATCTTTCACCTTCTTATTTTGAACATATTATAATTTTTTATTATCAAACTTTTTTTTTATGTATGACATATGCTATTCTTATAAACATTGAATAGAATTTTATGCTGGATACACCTGTACCATCTCCTTCCACCTGTCTTCTGACAAAAACTGTTCACTGACCTACAAATGTAGAACTAAATTTTTAAATCATAATAAAAATTTAAATTCAACACAAAGAAAAATAACTTCATTAATAGAATTTTTTGTTGTTACTCGTAGACTGTTGAAAGGGTCATCAAATATAATTGGACCATTTATCAAGAGAAAGCCTCCTTTAAGTTGCAAAGTACAACAAAATATCTTTCATCCTCTTATTTTTATTATCACTTCATAATTCTTTATGGATAAGGTTTTTTGTATGACTTAAAGATGACGTCTTAAAGATCATATCTTTTAATGAATTTCCCAGTTCTATTTCCTGATCTAAGAGATTTATGTTTGATACTTGAGAATTTAGATTTTTGGAGGAGTGTTTTGGTCTTACTTTCAGCGACAAACCTTTTGGCGACATTTGTATTTCTTTTCTTAACTGCTACTTGACATTTGAGGCTAATTCTTAATAATTGTTAAAATTTTTGTGTTTATTGTCCTAAAATAAGTTATTCATGATTTATTTTGTTTCCTTTGCCTTAGTTTGCTTAATAATTATGTCTTTTATTTTTGTTGTTGTTCAGTTTTTACTCTTTAATTGTATTTTTATATTTATCATTTATATTTACCATGTACATATGTCCTTATTCTTTTTGTATATATTATTTGTATTTTTTGCATATATTATTTTGTATATTATTTGTATTCTTTGTTATTGTAAAATGTCTTTTTATAGTGGATTTCGATCCGTAAATAAATAAATTAATTAAGACTGTTTTTTGAAAATGGAACTGTTAGGAAGAAGTCATTAATTTTCTTTGGACCTTATTTTTGAGTAGTTTTATTTTTTATATTCGTTGTAGTTTTATTTTTTCTATTTATTACTTTCATTAGATCATCCTGTAATTCTAATAATAATCCTCAAATGACCCAATGAACGAATTCCACACTACGGTGTCTCATTCACCATTCTCAAATAACATTTTGCATAAACTGAATCACATATTTGTTGTGAAATGTGACCCTAAATCATACACAAACCCCAATTCAATATTTCAATCAATTAAGATCTAATTGGCTTTCCAACTGTATAAAAAAATTATAGAAAATTTAAAACAAAACTGTTTGAATGTTTCATAAGTGAGTCATATTTCTTCTTGATTTCTTTTCCAAACAAATCCTTATATAATACCACAATATTTGACTCATCAAAACACTTATTAAATAAATGATTATTCGGTTAATATCTCGTGTTGGTTGATGTGGACAATTATTGTGTTTTATGTTTATGCATGCATGCACTCTACTCACTCTCTCTCTATTATTTTCTTTTTTTCTTTCTTCTTATATTTTGACCTCAACAGTTTAACTTATGATTTTTCCTTCTTGAAGGTGGGATAATTGGTCATCTATTATCCCACCTTCGAGAAGGAAAAATCATAAGTTTCTTTCTTTCAAAAATTTTATGCATATTGCCAACAATAAAAATACTAATAACAGAAAGGGCTTCTATTTTTGACATAACAGCCAAATCTGGTAAATAAAAAATAAAAATAAACTGACAATTCTGTGTAATGTTTTTTGCAAGTAATGTTTGTAAAAGAAAATTTCATTTTTGTGTTTATAAAATGTTTTTAAATTGTGATTTTAGGATACGCAGTGACCACAATCAGGACAATAGTCTTGAGATTTTAAATAAATGGCTAGATGCCAACAGAGATTATTATCACTCTGTTGACTTTGAGTTTGATAGTAAAAATGAAAGGATAGAGGGAGAAATAGGGCCGTCACACTGGCCCAAAAGTCGTTATACACATATCATCTCGCTTAGAGAAACTGCTTTAAAAAGAGCCAGGCATAAATGGGCTGATTATTTAATGGTAATTCATTTGAAAATAAATGAGTTGTGTTTATATTGTTAAATAGAAATATTTCACTTTAGGTTTTGGATTGTGATGTATTTATAACGAATCCAAAAACACTGAGAAAGTTAATTGACACAGGGCATACGGTTATCTCACCCATGTTACGCTCTGATGGCCTATACTCAAACTTCTGGTGTGGAATGACTGAAGATTTTTACTATCAAAGGACTGATGATTATACGAATATTTTAAACATGCATAATAAAGGCTGTCACAAAGTGCCAATGGTTCATTCATTTGTACTTATAGACCTCAGAGTTTTAAGTACTGATTGGCTCACATATGTACCTGGTAATTTAGAAAGCATCAATGTACCTCACGATGATATAATTACATTTGCCCTTTCTGCTAACCTGTCAGGTATGTGTAATTTGTCTTTAGAAAAAAAAAAAAAAATACATTTTTAAATCTTCAAAGGGATAGCCATGCACGTCTGCAATGATGAGTTTTACGGATATGTCATGGTACCATTGGAAGTTGACGATGGAATCAGTTACGATTTACTTCAGCTCAAGAATTTAAAGTTGGAAGTTTTGGGTGAGAAAAGTTATTAAATTGTATGCCATTGTTAAAATTGTAAGGGAAAAAATACTATTGACAATATTTACAGTTGACAATCCACCTATGGAGACTAGTCACCTTCTTTCACCCTATGTTCAACAACCAAATGAGGCTCAACTGGATATAGAAAAAGTGTTCATGATTAATCTCAAAAGGAGACCAGATCGAAGAGAGAGAATGTTAAATTCTCTTAAGGAACTTAACATCGAGGCTGAAATTATTGAAGCAGTTGATGGGCAGTAAGTTTTTTTTTGTAATATTATTATATGATATATGTACAATTTCTCTTGGATAAATATTAAGGTTTGATAGGTACACATTGGCGCTTTTTTATTTATTTTATTTATTTATTTTATTTTTTTTATTTTTTTTTATTTTTTTTTTGGTGTTATGATATAGCATATTAGCCATGGTGACAATTCTTATATGTGTGTTCAAATTGGGGGGATTATCGTGAAAAAAGGTCCAGAGGTGACGGTGGGAATCGAACCCACAACCGCGGCGTGAGAGTCTCTCATGCTAACCACTCGGCTACCGTGGTCCCCCATAATTATAATTTGTAATAGCAGTTTTGTCCTGTAAAGGATTTAAAAACAGGATACAGTAGAAAGTAATTCTAAACAATGCAAACAATGGCAATTTTTTATTTTTCAAACAAGAGTATTTAAACTAAGAGGTTGAGGACACTCGGAGTGCCGGGGTTTTTAAAAATAAACTTATTTGTAAATATGTTGGGTATGAATTCAGGGCCTCAGTATTCGAACCAGGTACCGTAACCTTACAGTTGTACCTAAAGTTGTAGCCATTGACACCCAATGGTCAAATTGAGTCTGATTGCAGAATGAAACAAGAATCCAATAACCAAAATTTAAAGTAAAAGGTGAAAGAAACTTTGCAGATTTACAAGTTTTGAAATTCTGAACAATGGGTGTTCTTGAACCAAGAAAATGAGACATTATGAATGTATATGCAATTTTATTGAATTTTTTTATAGGAAATAATTTCATAACATCCCACTATCCTTTGCTAACCTTCAAAATAACATTATCCCATTTATGGAAATATATTCGGATTTAATTACATATTAAATTATAATTTTGTCAACTTGGAAGTGTCGGATGAACAGTTAGTTTTAAAAATATCCATGCCCAGTTTTGAATTCATAAAAATATACACGTACAGTACGGGTTAGTTGAACATTATTGTAAGAACTACAGGTAAACCTGTTTCGGTTGAACGCACACACTAACTTTTCAACTTTTTGTCAGTAAAGATAAAATACGACAATTAGTTGAATAACTGTTGACAAAAGATGCTCAAGAAATGTGAAGTGTGAAAATCATATTATTCAAAGTTGTAAGAATGTTATAATGATTGTAAAAATATGTATGTAACGAATTAAAGAAAATTGTCATTGACACTTTTTAAAAACATGCTATTTCTTCAGATTTTTAAAAAATTTGTTCATATGAGTATCTAATATACATAACAACATTATTTTATATAAAATCATTCATTTGTACATATCTATTCAGTTACACAAAATACGTACAGGTATAAAATAATGGATCGTGTTGTGACAAATTTTACACAAAACAATTTTTAATCAGCTCAGCACTAGTTTACTCTACTGGTTTGCTTTAAGCTCAGATACCCGTATGAATGTTCACACTCTCTAGAGGACGGATGGGAAGACTTAAATTTTCATGAAATTAATAATATTTGAGGCTGACAGACTGATAAAAAATGCACATACATTGTGACATAATAGAGATAGATATTCATTTAAAATAATGCTTTATAGCCAAGTTTAATTCAAGTCAACAATGTTGAACCTTTAAATTGTTGGACCTTAACAAATACTAGGAAGCTAGGCAGGAGGCAAGCGAAAAAACCAATGTGAAGATGAGGAAATCTTACTAAATAGAAAGGAATTAAAAACTCTAATTGGTGTATTTACAGGATGTGCTCAAATAAAATATCGTCATAAAACTCACACACATAAAAAAAATGGATTATCAACAGATGACCCATGTCGATGTCTAGAAAAGGCAGAGACAACAGTACCTAATCTAAGCAACTACCCTACAATACCTACAATGCTATGGTACCTAGGATAGGTATTTCTGTGCTGTACAAACCTAGATACAACACTCCTTAGAAGAATTTTTCCCCATAATTCAATACTGTATGTCAAAATAAGATTTATTATCATCTTGTATAGCAGTTGTTTGTTGAGTCAATGCCAGTTTTTTGAAGTGCAAGCTTTAAATTTAAGCTTCGAAACTTTAAAAGTCAAGAATTGTACAAATACTCATTATAGAATTTCAACCCGCTTTCTTTAACTTTTTATCTTTCGCTCTCTCTTTTTCCTCAGTAACACACATCATTCATGCAAATTGAAAATAAATACTTTTGTTTTTGATATATTATCATGAAAATAGAAATTATTATTTACAGCTAAAGTACATTGGTTAATTCCCTGCTCTACACATTGAGCTACATAAACATTTTTTTGTGAGCGTTGAGTTGGTACAGAAAAATTTTAATAAAACATACATTTGACATTAAAAGCCAAAGAAAAATACATTTTGTTTTTCACAATTCAAGAATAATAAAATAAGTGAAAATTTTAACTCCACCTTTTTATTTTTGTAGTATAAGACCAAAAAAAGTTTAATTTACACACTTTGAGATAATTGAAATTGTATTTGGGATAATCACTTTTTATTGATATACAAAGAACTATTAAATTAGCTTTTACATTATTTAAATATTATTAAGAATCTTAATTTACTCTACAATTTATTTGAAATTCAATTTCAGTCTCTTTGAAACATTTTTATTGTTTTGGCTGTTTTGTTTAGAAATACTGTGGGGACTTTCGCCTGTTGTAAAAGTTCACCATGTCAAATCTAATAGTATCAATGCTGGCTGTTGTCAATTGAAAAGCGCCTACTTGAGGCGGACGGAAGATCTAGAGCTGTGTCGGATGACTGTACTGGTCATTTGCTTTGGCCTTGGGCTGATCTATCCTCGGGATCGAGTTCATTCTGTACAAGACTGTTCTTTTACTGCTCCTCATTGACGTCCGGCTGACGAAGTGCCTCGAAGCAGTGGAACTGTGCCCGTTCATGTCCCTGTGGCCAATTAAGCAACATACTATGACAAGGTTGTTCCGCATCTTCCTCATTGCGTCCTGAAATAAAAATTATTTTGAGAGAAATTGTAGAAAAATAATTTTTCTAAAAATAGTGTTAGTTATTCTAGTCTTAATATCGTAAATTTTCTCCAAGAGGGTCTCTTCTCTATTTGATTGCCTCTTGATATACTTGTTTTTCAGGGAACGTTTGATTAATATATTATATTATTCCTTAAGGATGTCTCCATTTACAAGAACTTCAGATTCATAATTTAATAGAACAGGAATAAATATTTTGTTCTGAAGTACCAAAAAACACAATTTTCAGAAAAACGTTGATAAAAGTTTTATTTATAAACTGTAAATTAAAATTCACCTGTCATTAATCTTCTATTCCTCCAGTTTTAAATGGTTTCAATAAGACACCTCTGTCCATAATTGTGTTATCCTTAGCAACACAAGATAAACTAATTTTGGGACAGTTCAGACCCTCAAATTAGTGTAACTTCATATGAAGTTAGTATAACTGAACCTCTTGAAACGGATAATTATCTTGATCATTCTCATGACACATCACACAAATGAAGTATCAAGTAAAGGTTTTGGGATAGAAGTTGAAACACTTCTTGAAGTTAAGGGTAATGACTAAATATTCTAAAAACAATTGGTATAAGTTGTTTTGCAGTGATCCGGATTTCGAGCCTTTTAGCTCATCATCAGGTTGAAGGACTTCCACAACCAGAAGTGGTTGTGGAAGTCCTTCAACGTGATGATGAGCTAAAAGGCTCGAAATCCGGATCACTGCAAAACAACTTACTGTGAGTAGGAACTATCCTTTTAAAAAGTATTGAACACCACACTCACTCCATCATTTATCATTTCTATTGGTATAAGTAGTTAAAAATTCTAATAGAAAAAGCTCATAAATTTTAAACTATCTGATGTTGGTGTCGGAGCGCCCTGCTTCTTGGCTTTGCCATGGAACTTCCTTTTGTCATAGGTTTTTCTCGTTTTCTCCTTGGTGTCTCTCTCTCTCTCTCTCTCTCACATACACACACACACACACACACACACACAGAGGTTTAGAAACAAAAAGGAAAAAATGAAAGAAGCACACTTCAACACAGACTCTCGACTAGACAGGAGAAAAAACCAGGATTGAAAGTGAAAGACAGGTCCTCATTAGTGCAATAGAAGGATCTGTTGTTTCTACTTGAAAAGAATTAGTAAAAGAAGCAAAAAGTTGTAACAGAAGGGGAAGAACACCTTCCCAGTTTTTAATTTTAACAAAAGGAAAGAGTGAGGTTTACACATACTCTATCAGTTCAAGAACGTTTCTCACAAAAACATTTTTTAACTTATAACTAAAATAGGTATAATATACTGTTCAGAAATAGATTCCCCATAAAATTAGCAAAGAACTAATCCATAAATTGTTTTCTTGATTCGGTTCAGAAAGGACCAAACTAGATTGGCAGATGCACTAATTTTTGGATGGAAGTGCAGTGAACAGTTGGTAGTAGAGTTTTTGAGAGGACAAAGACACATTAACTGAAACGTGTTCTGATTGGACGAATGACTCCCCTGTATTTATTTTATACGTAATATTTATAAATTGGCAACGACTACCTTTGCAATTGGTTTTTATTATGTATTGTCTTTTTATAAAACTGAACTCATATCTCAGCACAATTGGCTATCTGTAACATATAATTTGATTGAAGATTGACTCAGGGTTGGCTGTAGTTAATAAGTTTTCAAATATAGATGAGCTAAGATTTATAGTCAGTGCGTGTTTGTCATATGGCGAATATATTACACACACAAAGGTGCTGGTAATGTCTAATGTCAACAGTATTAACTTTTTTGAAAATTGATTTATCAATGGCCTCGATGGTAACTCTAACAGGAATTTTTGTTTACAATTACTCTGGCTGACATTAATCCTGGAGTCAGGATTACAATAAAAAAACAGCTGAGGGGAAAACAACCCCCTGTGGAATTTCGTGGAGCTATATTTAATGCAGGAGGTAATTTTGCGAAAACACGGAAACAAACAATCAGATAAGATGTAAATTGTGCAATAAAATCCTTCCTTTTTCTTTCTTTCCCGAACATTAGGTTCATTGGAGAGTATTATACTATTCTTTTTTTTTTTTTTTTCTATCTGGGGTAGAGGAGGGATATCAATAGAAATGGACTTCTATCTCCCAATTAGTTCCAATCATAGGTGGGTAATTAACTTATTCTTTTTATTCTTTGAAATATTTCTTAAAATGTCAAACCGTCCATTGTCATATTAAATCCAATAATTAATCATTATTGCTGCGCACTGTTTTTCCAAACAATTTTCTTAAATTGAAACTGCTATTGATATTTTTTAGAAACGACCTATCATAGTAATTGTCTAAGGAGCACCTCAATTATTTTCTTTTTCCTTGTAACGAAAGTTGCAATGTGGGGTATTTTGAAGCTCCTAGGAAGTTATTAAGCAGCTTTAATCACTAATTCACTTTAACAAAAAAAAAAAAAAAAAAAAAAAAAAAAAAAAAAAAAAAAAAAAAAAAAAAAAAAAAATTAAAAAAATAAAGATATTTGAAACTGACTTTCTTAAAAGGCAATTCCATTCTTATGATAATAATTATTAGCTTAATTAATCTAGCTAAAGAGCTTATGATGACTTATGAATATACATATTATATAATAATTGATGGCCTTATTGACTTAGCAGTCATCTAAATCAAAGGATGATTAATAAACCCAGAGTGATTAGCCACATACGATTGGCATAAACTCAACATAATGTTATATTGTTCAGGAAATTGCTCGAAGGATAACTATGACCCTTGTTTATGCTGACTTAACATAAATTCGATCCACACAAGTCCTTGTATCCAGTCACCAACAGTACTTAATATCCTACTTGCTTTATTGTCAATTACAGCTATAATTATAAGTAAAACTAATTGGTCTAGTAGAGATAACAAATAATATTTAATTCAATTGAAATAACTTTCAAACATGTGAAAGTGATTTAAAAACTGTTTTTCCATTTAGTTTTATTTCATACTAATATGAATTAGTTTAAATTATTTATCTTGTTAAATAACCTTTTGAAGGATTTTGGAAGAATGGTTGTTTATTGATATCACCATTGTGTGACCTGCAAATGTTGCAATTTTTACTCCAACTATTTTCAGAAAGTCATGTGTGGAGAGTATGTCATACAGAAAGTAAAGTATTGGATTTAGTAAGCTCCCACAAGTATTTGTTTTTAGTACTGATTACTGATGTTCTTGTTTGACTCTAAAATGTCTGTCAAGTAAGAATGAATAATTTCTACATACTGCTATATGCCTGAACTTGCCAAAAGCTTTTGACACATCAAGAACAATAGCAGGACGAATTTGTTTTTCTTTGAGTGATTTTCTATTAAGTCTGTTACTCAGTAAATTTGATCTATTGTTGAATGTCTTGTTCGGAACGCAAATGGTGGTCAGGGATGATTTTCTTGATTTTTGAGAAGATGAAAAGTTTAGAAACTGTAAATAATAGCGATATTGGTCAGTCTATAAGGTTTGTCCTCAGCAATTTATCTGGTTTTGGCAACATGATGATTTCTGCGAATTTCCAGGTGATGGGAGCATATTTAAGTTTAATTGCATCATATAGACACGTCAGTATAATTAATCCCTTTTTCGGCAATTTTTTAAATATTTATTCAGTGATATGGTTTCCTGGAGTCTTTTCAGCAGGTAAATTAAAATTTCTTGTGCTGTTTCTTTAAGTGTAATTAGCTTTAATCCTTTCTTCTTCTGAAGTGGTTGTTACTTCAAGGAAGCTGCCTGATGTTTTCATTTGGTTTAAAAATTTCGGCAGTGTGACTGTCAAAATAAAGTTTTTTTTCTTTTTCCTGCTTTCTTTCGCCCATGTACAGTCATTTAATGGTAGAATTTGGGAAATTGGTCTTAGTCCTCAATTGTATACAAGAATAATGTGATTTGACAGAAGAAATGCCACTCAATAAATACTCGTTTAACAAAGAAATTAATAAATTACCCACAATTTTTGTACAAAGAGTTCTACAGAAATTTACCGACAATCTAATTGGTCTTCCTATTATGAATTCACAGTACAAAAATATATTCATGATTCTATTTTTTTCTTGTAAAGCTGAGAAAATACGCGAGTGGGAAAGGCGAGTTTGGTCTGAACCTCCATGAAAGAAAAAAGTTGAAATTTCTTCTTAGCAGGGCGCTTGAACATATAAAACCCGCTTGAAGGATCGGTCGTAAAAGTTTAACATTTGATCATTTCTATGAACAGTTATTATGATAAATCTAGGAAACAGATATGATGAATATTGATTTTCATATCGATTGAGCAATATTTGCATATAAAAAATATATATATTCTAACTTATTCACGTTTAATATAAGGTAAATTATATCCAAGTCGTATTTTAGTAAAAATGGCAAGTTTAAAAAAAAATCGTGATTTTTTTCTTGTTGTCGTGACAGGAAGGATTCCGGGCTTCAATCTCTTGAAGCAATTTTATAAATGGTATTTTTGTCCTCTGTGGTCATAAGCGGCAGCCAGATCTAGCGTTCTGGCTTAATTTCGTTTTCGCCGAATGGCTTCGGGGTCTCGTTTGATCTTTTAACTACCCCGTGGTCTGTTACTAATATTTCCACATCGCGTGCCATTAGGGCTATTAGGCCACCTCTGTGCCAGGTCGAATTTGGCGTTCCGGTAAAACAGTTTATGAGTAATTAGGCACTTAATTTGGGTTGTAAAAGTTGAACACGAGCTTTTCCTGGCCTGGTACAGAGTCTAAAAATAAATAAGGCTTATAATAATGAGTTTTAATTTTTTTAATACCAAGATGGAGATTAAAATTCTTTAATATTATTTATATAACGTTAGATAAAATAATGTATATTTTTGAACAGGACAAAAAAAGATCCTTAGAACTAAGACCAACGGATAATTTATTTTAGGCCAAGCTTTTAGAAATAGCTTAAAATTAAGATTGATGTAAATGTTAATTGATACTCGTAATAAACCATTAGCTCCTAACAATATCGGTTTATAAATCAATATCAAAGGTAGAATGAATGTAAGCTTTATTGCACAATTAGGTACATAATTACAATTAATTTTTCATTAACTATGTTCAATATTTTCACTAATAATTAGTGAGGTGGTGTTGAATGTTTAAGTTGTATTACAATTTGTTGGTTGTTGGGGATGATTCATTTAAGAAAAACTTGGAAGCAAAAATAAAGATTTGTATTCGTGCAGAGTGAATGATAGCAATGTTGTTTTCGTGATAATTTTTCTCCCTTTCCTAGGTTCGGTACTAAAGACGCAATCATAGATTATAATGATTTTTTTTGTGACACTAGGTCGAAAATATTATACACGTGTTTGAGCGTTCTTGCCAATGGGCAAAAGGAGCCTAGAAAAAATATTTTAAGTAAATTTACAAAGTTTTTAAATGTTTTCCACATTCAACGTAATTACGACCATTGTAAGCAGAATCCTTCTTCTTTCAAGCTATAGCAGCATTGTTTAGGTTTATAAAAAAAAAAAAATTAAGGATGAAATCAACAAAAACCTCTCAAACGTTTTATTTTCTGTCTCAGGCTATGATTCATTTACGGAGACCATGTTTATGTCATTATGTGTAGTTTACAGCTTCCAAATTCCTGTAGATAGATAGTGTTTTCAGAGATACCATTTTCGTGATTTTTGAAATAAAGTGAGAAGTGTTCAGAGGTTTTTGGGTGTGTAAAAAACGAATATCAACTTTGTTTCTTGGAAAAAACATATATTAACCTACCTTTTATGTTATGAATTTCAATATCTACGATACCTATGACTGCCGAGTAACATTTTGATGTTGAGTCCGAGCGAATGAGGAAAGTAGGTTTTTTAAACAAATTTTGAACTTCGAAAACCCTCAAATACAATGTTTTTTCAAAAACCAATAATAATGGTAATAGCAACCTGGGTTTTCTCCAAAAGTATATTTCAGGATTCCCTAATGTTATTGTGATAAGACTATATTGTGTTAGTTCTAACTATTTTTGAGTTCTGTTGCTTAGTTTGGTTTCCCTGTGGCTGCAGTCTAAAATAAATCGACGCTGTTCAGGGGAAATTTTAGGGCTAAATCGGAAAATCAACGAGTATAACAATCGGTTAAAACCGTTATTTCTTCAGGATAGTACTGGTATTTTTATTGAAAGGTGATAAACGGCCGTTACTTCTTTCCAGAGTAACTTAGATCAATCAACATTTTGTTAGTCGCACTTGTCGACATCATAGGTTTTATGCCAAATTTGATAGAATTAATTATGGAAATTTGTCCCCAATGTCATATCTACAAAGGATCCTATAATGAAATTTGCGATGTGTAATGTTAATGTGTCCATTTTGATATATTTATATCTTTTGTTAATGTTTTTAAAAATCAGTAGTTACATATCATTGTGAATTGTTAAGGGATGTATTCGTTAATTTTAAGATCACTTATATGACTATACTGGTTAATAATAATTGTTGTTGACTATTAATAAAGTGGCAGTTAGGATTCGTGATTCAGTACTGGAGGAAGAGGTGGTTTTGTAAATTCCATTCAAAAGATGGGGAAAATAGGTTTTTTAATTATGCACGACTACGGTAAATGGATTTATCTCGAGCCGATTGTTGAATTTATCATGATACAACAAGGGGCGGTTCCTTTCATGCATCCTGTGGGACGATAAGAATCTAAACCGTGTTCAATTCCACAAGGGCCGATTTCTCGTTCAACTTAACCCCCCCCCCCCCGGCGTTTATTTAGGATCTCGCCTATAATTATAACAAACCGTTTCCTATTCTGGATCTATTAACTATTTACCTTGATCTCTTTCATTCTCGCTGCGTAAATGTACGAATTGATGGCCGTTTTTAGAATGAGAAGGAAATTGAGTATGAAATTCGTTATTATCCTCCAGACGGGCGTCCCCCAGTTTCTCGGAACTAGGCAGTCTTCGCAGACAAAGTAGAAATAAATGGTAGCCGGAAGCCAGCCCAGGAGCATCGAACCGACTATTAGAAGCGTCGTGCACAGTGCTTTCTCGTTTCTCCTCTGATTCTGATGATTTTCGGCCATCTATAAACAAAGTTAGATTTAAAATATATGAGAAAAACAACAATATACATGGCAAAATAACCTTCAAATTCGCATTTCTCAGCCATCTTGTCATATAAATTAATTCTGGCAAAAGAAAAACACTAAATGATCGTACGTTTAGGAATCCAAGGCATTTATGTTTCCTTTGCAATATGTCAAAGATAGAAAATTTATAACATTTTATAAAGGTGTGCCTCTGCCTGAAGGAGTATGATGCTTTTCTAGGAAGAGTCATCCTTCCCGTGAGGAACGTTTAACATATCTTAATGGCTTAGGGAAGTGGTTACTTTTAATTAATTGTTTAGGACCGCATAGAACTAGCGAGATTCAAAATTTCAACTTTTAAAATGGTTTAATTTAAAATGCTTTTGCTTTCCCCTGGAGTAGATATTAATCTGCTTATGACATTTTATATTATCACATTATTATTGTTTTATTATTCAATGAAATATGAAACCAAACAACATATTGTATTAAGATATATGTGTCTGTTTTTTTATGCACTAAGTAAAAAATAGTAAAAATTATTAAATTTATTTAGTTTTAGAAGAAAAATGATTGATGATCTATTTGATTGATCTCTTTTTAAATTACTATGTGTAGAGATTAGTGACCGTTAGTTGATAATTATTCAGATATCGTGAGATGCGGTCTGGTGTGATGTAGGTTTCAGAAAATGTTAAAGAAAATGCATCTCACGATATCTGAATAATTAAATTACTATGTTAAAAAATTTAATTGTTTATTTCTTATGTAAATTATCAGTTTATAACTAAGCAACAACTCCGCTGATGTAGTTTAATGTTTCTGATTTTTATTGTCACAAAAGTAATTTATTTATTATTACGTTGTTATTGTATGTTATACTAAAAAGACTACAAGTACAACCTACATTGTCAGCAATGAATAACTATGATCACAAGCTACAAAGAGACTAAAATCAATTCTACCAACTGAGTTTCAACTAGGATCTGTTGAACTATGGTCCCCAACAGCGCTCCCTTCTCTGAACTTGTTGCAAATTATGGTTGAGGTTACAGGGAACTGGCATAAACTGTGATTGATTGCATGGGCCCTTGGGTCATAGAGTTTTCCCCCCTTTACTAATTAAACGTGTCCTCTGCTAATGGATTTCCCAAATGATTTTTGTGACTTCATTGAAGTACATAATTCTTTTCAGGGGTATGGTACTAGGTCTACATTGCACAGGAATGTTTTGTACTTACTCACCTTACTTTTTCCTAGCGATTACAGGGCAGTTGCACAGAATATGTTCTGTTTCTTTGTCTCTTCTGGACATCTGTTGAGGGTCCAATTTTTAAAGTGGTATTTTACTGGAGCACTTAAAGTAACTAGAGATTTTAGTTCCTTTCTTAGTAAGATTAATTCATTTTGTGTGTATCATGTCTGGCTTACGTTCGTAGTATTTTTTGGTTTCCCAAGATTATAGTTCTTTTAAATTGTAGGAGTGGATTATACCTATCGGTTGTTCTTCGCCTCCCATTTTGTTATTAGTTTGCTGCCATATAGCCTGAACTCATTAGAGCAATTTTAGGCTAGGGTATTTAGACAGACTAGAGTTTTGAGTTGTCCTAATCTTGATTTTAGAGCTGCCTGACTATATGATAGTCATTATTGTTGCACTATTGAAATCAATCATACCTCTGTGAAATCAAAAGTATAGGCTATATGAGAAACAAAATCACGTTAAAAAAAGGTTTATTTCATAATTTTCATGACACAAAATTGATATATCTATAAACTATAATAAAAAAATCGTTAGCTTATAACGTTTTTTGAATTTTATCTTTGTTAAAAGATATTTGCAATTTAGTCGTCTTAAATGAGACCTCAGAAAACCTCCTTCTGCTTACTGCACGCCGTTCAGCCAATAATTTATTTTGTTACTAACATTTTTTTGATTTCTCTCTCTTCAATTAGAATCGTAGAACATCTACCGTGAAACGTTTTATTTTCGATGTTCTTCCAGTTGTGAAGGGAGCGGTAATGATACTGAAAATAACCATCTGTGTCCCGCCACTCCTTTCTAACCCTTTTACGCCTTCTGTTCGGATGGTCCTTTTATTTCATCCATTGCGACCTATGTTGAAATGTAAGTTCAACAGGGTGGAAGACAGTTTGTATAAATAATGAAGTATATTTGTAACATATTTTATCTTTAACATGCATTTCATCTTTACTTTCTGGCGGGAAGTCTGCTTTATTGTGTTTTGGGTTTTTATACTTCAAATCCTCCATTATTTTGCTGAAAATTCCATTCCAATCCATTAATTTTCCCGTTCTAGTAAATTTAAGACTAATAATTCGCTAAATGAAGAAAAGTTAAGAAAAACCCCATTGAACTTTCCACTCTTGTTTCTAACGGATGATTTCTTTTAAAATTTCTAGTTTCATACAGGGTTGAATAGACATCAATTCTACACGCCAAAATATACCACAAAGTACATGTAGTACAAAATCTGATTTTCAATTTTATTTTAGAATTTTATTTTCAGGGTACTTCAAACAGTACTACTAAAAATAGATGAATCTCTTTTCGGTGGTTTACAGCAGGATTGATATTTTATCTTATACTCAAAAGTACAATAAGCCAGAAGGCTGGAGTGCCTGGGGAGCACAAAACCCGTTTCCTACTATCTTTTGGTTATCAAATACGGGGGACTTTGGAATAAAGTTATGAAAGATATGACGCTCACAGAAAGTTACTCCTAATGAGCTTTTAAACATTTCTCAAAAAATCAATTATCACCAGTGTAAAGTTCAGTTTAATTGCTAAAAATTTAATTTTTCGGTTATAAATCGTTTAAAAAATTAGACATTAAAGTGTCTAAATTTCTATTAAAAATAACGAAAGTATTAGAAAGTATGGCACACTCATAACTGCTAAATTGTAAAAGATCTTTTAGCAATTAATAGTTTCTGTCACACTGGTTATAACTGACCTTTGGGCAATTATGTACATGTGCTAAAAGCTCATTACTAGAAACAATTTTTATTACGCGCCATATCCGTCAGTATTTACAGAGCCAAGAAAATCTTACTTATACTTCCGATAAAAACTTTGGAAACTCGTAAAAGTTTATGTTCTAACCGATTTTGAACTTTGCTTAAGATTACATTAAACAAATGAAACTCATAGATTTTTAATGCTCTTTCCATCGGTGAAATCCAATTTAAAGTAGGATTAAAATTTTATAAATAATGGGAGTTTATAATATAAAGTTGTGAAAGGTTGACGTAATCTGAAAAGTGAAATATCTGTAAAAACTTCCATATCAAACTTTGGACATTGGTGAAGTTTTAGTCCAATTTAACATGTAATATAACCTCCTGAAGTTTTGACGTCTGTTCACGGGGCACCCTGTATATATATGCAATAATTCGCACGCACAACCTATTTACCCATTTAGTGGAATTTATTCTTATATTTAATCCCCCAGCCACACATCTTCTAGGCCCATAAGCCTCTTTCCTATCTAATCCTTCCTACATTTATGAATGTTGGAAAGCATTCAACAGAGGTGGCACCTTCTTTCTCGTCATGATTTCCTTACTTTCGGACTTCTGGTTTCAAGTACAGCTCCGATTTTTCTGCTGGTGTTTCACAAGGAAGAATCCTAGGACCAATACTCTACACATTCTACACTACCCCCTCAGACGACGATTCGTCAGATTTTAGACCTTCCCACTAGTATAAAAAAAGTGATCATCCACCCAAGTCCGCTAACTTGTGGTTTACTTTGATAGGAGACGTGGAACACACTCTAAAAAGACAAGATCTGAAGAAAAATATGGCCAGAATTGCGCTGAAAACTGCACTAAGCACACATAACAACTTAATCGTTTATGCACTCATTAGTCCATCTGATGAATTCAATTTTTTCAATACTAAGTCTACCTTCTTAAGTCGCCAACCCAATCAGTCAAGAAGACCTGGAGATACCATTCGTTGGATCTTGGATACGTTTCCACCTTAACCAAACTGGTGTATTTTTTATCTTCCAATCTTTACTCTCCAATCTATTCCAACCTAACAAACCTTTTGCCCTAGTCCCAACTAAATAACAAAGTTTCAGCTATACTGGCTTCTAAAGATCTGTCATGTCCTGTCTGTGTATTTGTACTCTATTTGATCAATGTATATTTTTTCACAGATAGCGCGAGATAAATAAATAATTCGTTGTACAAAATGATTGCAATCCCCATTAATTCTTCTTATTATGATAAAGCACTGTAGCGAATTAGTGTATACATAGTTAATTTAGTCATAATTTAACGGTCCCCATTATTCACGAATAGAAATTAAATTTCGGCTGTTGATGACTTGGAGGGTAACCGTCTATCCGGGCCTTTGCAAGCGGCATTATGGGTACATCAAAAAACGCATTAAATATTTTTCAAAACAGGGGAAGCACGGAAATATTACTAATATGTACAGCAATTGATAAACAAAAATATACAAATTCCATGCATGTGGAGACATATTGATTTAGAAAATGATTTCCTGTTTAGCCTTATTTTGTTAAACGTTTAGCAGCCGTCTCCATTGGTCGGAAAGTTACCTTCGTGGGCTTAAACTTACCTCTGTCTCCCTAAACATAAACCACTGACTGATTTCTTAAAGGGTTTGCGCACTTGAAGGGGTGGCTTTTAATCCAGCCTTGATATATTGTATTATTCACCCTTTTGTACCGTTTATGAGAAAATATGACGAAGGATTTGTTTCTACAGCGTTAAACGGTATAAAAATTGGCTAAGGGTGTTAACTCATTGATAAATTGTATGATTATGATTTGTTGATCATTTTTACGATAGGCTTGAAGGAAATCATTCTGCTATAGCTTTATTTCCTGCGCGGAAAAAGAAACCCACAAGCGCACACAAATAAACTGGTTAACTTTGAAGGAAATTCATTTTGGCTTGATGCTTTTCATCTCGCCATAAAAAATGTAAAAGAACCGCAGACATAAACAACAAAATTAAAAAAAAAAAAAAAAAAAAAAAAAAAAAAAAAAAAAAAAAAAAAATACCCCTTTGAAAATCTCAGAATATATTATTATCACGAAAGAAGGCTTTTCGAAGTTTATACACCAGGAATTTCGTAAAAAGAGGGCATGTTTTTGTAAACACTTTTCAACTTGCATGCTCTGGCAACAAAATATAATTGAAATATAACAAGAATGCTTGATTCTCAGAGTTAAGTAAACAAAAACAAGGCTTTTTGTAACTTTTTTCTTTCGCATTCGGATTATTTGATATATCTCCTCTTTCATTTTTTTTACCCCATTTCCCTTTTCACCAACCACTCTACCCTCAATTACTTCTTCAACTATTTGTATCTCTCGAAAATCTCTCTATTTCTTAATGTTACTTACTTTTATTGTTTTCCTTCTTATGTACTATTAGGTAGGTTTTGGCTGATCAAAGTTTTTTTTATCTACAGTATCCTTTGGGTATCGCGAACTGGGGAATGGGTCAATCATTTAATAACACTTTTTTTCATTATCTTCAATAAAATTCTGTGCTATTCCGGGATTTGAACCCGAATTGAATTTATTTTCGTACTAACAGTTTGTATAACAAATACTATATTTACAGAATTATTTTATTGAGGGAAAGTGGCGGGGGCCTTATACGTCCTCTTTGCATATCTCCTGTGTTTACCTGGTGTGTACCATACATCCTGAATACATTACTATCAAATAATTTTGGTAAAACATTCTAAGAAAAAAAAACCATTTATCTTAACATTAACAAAATTATCATGGTGCGATTCGAAAATAAGGAATTCAAACCCAGAACTGTCATTAAGCCAAAATAGCAACTTCTATTATGTATGATTTCCGCCAAATATCGACAGTTAGTAATAGTTAGTATCGATGTTAGTAAAATAATGTTCCGTAATAATAATAATAATAACGGGAAAATAGCTCCACAAAAAAAAAAAAAAAAACAGATAAAGAAAAAGAAGTGTTATTGTGTTTTGTTTCTTATTATTGTTATGTAGATTAGTTTATGTATCATATTTGAATGGAAGAATAAAAGGATAAGGATGAGCCTATACTCATGCTGAGACTGTTGCTAGTCTGACTCCATTATTATTATTATTATTAGCCATACAAGCCTATGGGAAAAGTTTAAATTATGGAACAAAAATTCACAATTCTATTTAAAAAAGAAACAGAAATAAATTTTATATGTAATTTAAAATGGGATTTTTGCATACATTTGGCCTTCCAAATTAAGAATTTTAAAAAAGAAAAATTAAAGCTTGGATGGCAATAGGATAAATTAGTTTACGAGTGAATGTTTGGAGTCAGAGCTTTATAGCACTCAGAAGGGATATAGCTAACCTAAGATAGAAGGTTTGGATGTTAGGGCGTGAAATAACCTTAGCCGTTAAAAGAAAAGTTATAAACATTACATAATATATAATTTAAAGTAAAATTACGGCATGGAGGGTCCGTCTGCCGGAGGTCGATTTTCATTTGACTTAAATTTTTGGTCGACACAGAAAAAAAGAAAAAACATTGATCCTTAAATAAATATTACAATTGATAATTTAATTTTTAATAATTACATTAATTACTAACATACATTATAAACAATAATTTTTGTTCTTTGTTTATTTTACAATAAGTATAGATATATAAATTATTTGGGCCAGCAATTTAGAATGACAAGGCTTTAAAATATTCAAAAATTAAATTCTAATATTGACTCTTGGCGATAGTGCCAGGCGTGGCGAGCATATTTGATTAAATTTTTGTAATCATTAAGCAGTAAGTCAATTGTGTCACATTCAATTTAGCAAAATTTAGATGCAGAAGCCGAATCTCCGATAGGATAGTGCGTTTTGCAATAAAATGCACAATGTCTTCTTTAACCTGGTCATTGCATAATGAACAAATTACATTTTTTCTAGCCCGAAAAGGTGCACCTAGCAAAAGGTGCATATATTAAATACGTGTGCGTCTGTGGTGTATGTGCTCTTATTGTAAGATATGAATGGTTAAAATAAAATTAATTATACGTTAAAATCATGTAATTAATGTTAAACATACACCCGTTGTGACAGACTGCATGCTTAATAAAGGTATTTCATTTTTTATTACCCAATTAATGTTTGAGTAAGTTGTGGGAATTTGGAATGTAATCCTGCCCCAGAAGGAGCCTTGACAATATAAGGAATTACAGGGGATTGGGAGTTTTCTTATTTTTGTTACGCTGGTAATAGAACGATAACGTTTTCCTACCTGTGAGGATCTCGAGTAGGTTGATCCAGCCCTCCTGAATTTGTTCCTGTTCGCCTGATGCTTTCTAACGAGAAGATATATGTGAATGTAGATGGCCGCCATCAGGACGAGACTTCCGAGGAATATGTATGAACAGACGCTCCTGAATTCTGTATGGATCATAAACCTGTAAAAACAATTGTTTACTCGCTACTTGTTTGCTATATCGTATACAAAATCCATATTTTGATTAAACATGGATACAGAAAGTGTTTGCGTGACCATTTTCGCGTCAACAATTTCGTGTTACCTGGGAATTTGTATTAGGCTAGGAATGGTTAGATTAGGGTTAGAGATGGGCTAGGTTAGGCTCGGTTTCAGGGTTAGGGTTTTTAGTACAATTGTTGATGAAATTATTAAAATAAAAACTAATGTTTTTTATATCCAAAATTTATAGCTTCACTTTAGGAAATCTGTATGGATTTTAATTGTAAATGACAAAAGTGAATTTGAGTAGCAAAAGAGTGAACTTAATTTGCAAAAGTGTGAGGGGGTGTGCAAAGGGTGAATTTAGTATGGAATAGAGTGAAATTATTTTGCCAAAGGGTGAATTGAAATTGAAAAACGAGTGGAGTTTTTTTTGCAAAAGTGTGAATTTAATTTACAAAAAGGTGAATTTATATTAACAAAAGGTAATTTTTATTTGTAAATGTGTATATTTAAATTTAAAAATGGTGAATTTAATATAAAAAACCTGTATTCAGTTACCAAGTTTATATAAGAAAAAGAAATAGTAAAATTATTTATATATTCTACGTATTGAGAAAATGAAAGTAATTATTCTTAGTAAGAAATAAAAACACAATTGAAAAATCAATTTTTCGGAGAAGAACTTTTTTCTAAATTTGTAATGCCTTCTACTACTCGTTAGTTATTTCCCTACAAGTCATAACTGTTTTGAAAACCATAGAGCAGAATTTAATCTAAAATTATTCGCCAAATACTGTAAAGAAAGCAGTAACCATTCACTAAATACTGCATAGAAAATGGTTTAGTAGAAAAGCCAATAAAACAATATTTTAATTTTCTTGTAATACATTCCTAATTCGGCTTGAGAATTATAAATACGCCTTGGACAATCATTAATATTTTCATCTATAAACAATTTCAAATCGCATGGTTCCCTTTATTTTAATTAATTATACCTTTAATCTAAAGTGTTGGTTGAGACGAAAAAGCTAATGTCATGAGCGGATTCGAACCCACGACCTTCGGTTCAATATGCTGCTGCTCTAACCGCTTGAGCTATTGTAACAAAAAGTGGTTGGTTAGAGCAACCGCGTATTGGGACGAAGGTCGTGGGTTCGAATACCGCTAGTGGCACTACTTTTTTAGTATCAGCCAAGACCTTAGATTAAAAGTACATTTAATTAAAATAATTAATATGGTCAATATGACTAAATACATATATTTGTTATTTATGTTTATCATATTTGTCTTATCAGATGTATCAGCCTTCACCCAGTAGCATACAAAATCCTGGAAAGAGTCATTTTCAAACCCTAATACTGCGCCTATTAAATACTGCGAGTGCGTTCTTAGACATAACTCAAGCTTCAAAGCAAGGTGCGGACAAGACCAATCCAAGCCGGTGTCTCACAAGGGAGCATTATTCGTCCAATCCTATGTTTTATTTATACTGTTGAACTGCCTTTAAATGCCAAAATGACTTAAAGCCTATGGACGATAATTTTATCTCCTGACTCAAATCCTATCCAAGCCACTTCTCATATCCAGGGACATCTAGGAAGGAACTGTCGATGTGTGCATAAGTCATGTACTTAGAACTAAATTTAGGTTGACATGGAACCTCCACAGAAGTCTCAAGCGACTTGGTCCGAAATGAATTCTTTACTTGCCGTAAATAACAAACTAACACTACAATACATTCTACCTATTTATAGTGAAGTTATGGGTATCATCGCACCATGTAACGTCCGACTAATCCAAGAGTTCCTATCCAAAGTTGTCAAAAAATTCTCCAAGCTCTTTATTACGTTTCTAACCTCGCTATCCACAATAACCTTAACATTTTCTTCGTTAAAGAATGGATCCGTTCCAGTTTACGAAAGTTTCACTTCAATCTTTCGACCTATTCTAACTGCTCAAGCCTTCTCCATCGCCTCTCATATCAAGAATATCCACGTCGCCTCAAATGCAAAGAGATTATTATTTTTTAAATTTAAATCGGTGCTAATACTTACTTGAAGTCGCATTCGGCCACGCTGAATCCATCGTCTGCAATTACAGAGAAATATGTAATGAATGATACAGGCGGCACGACCCATAGAAGGACCTCGATGACGCAGATGTAGCGCATCGTCATCAGTGCTGGGTACTGCAGAGGCTTCCGAATTCCCAGATAGTGATTTCCAGCCAGGGCTAGGAGATGGCCGCTGGTAGTGTACATCCCAGCCATCCTAAACGCTTCCAGGACCAACAGCTGGCATATGCTAAGCGGATGGATGTGGTAGACAACTGGCAACAAACTGTTGAATATCAACGCGATCCCAATAAGAGTGTTCGACCACAGGTCGGATCCGGCGAGAGATAAACTAATGTGAAGAGTTGGGCTTATAGGTCTTCTTATCCAACAGACTGAAAGCAATATTGTTACATTGACAGCTACGGACACACAGCATAGTGAAACCAAAATTATTGTGATGTATAGGTATAGCTTTTCAACAACAGAAGCGTCATCCCCGGCGACATCGATGACGTCAATTTCCGTCAGGTTTACAGGAAAAAATGTAGTACTTATATTCTCCCACTCCATTTTGGCGTTTTACGTTCTAGAAAAACAAAACAGAAAACAATATTATTTAAAAGTTAATTAAGCCATTAGATTTGAAGCACAACAGTACTGATAATAGTACACAATTCAAACTTGCTTTGACTCGACAAACTTTGTTTATAACTTTGAATTATTTTCTGAAAGTAATAATCCGCACGCAATAGTATTTCAAGCAGTTGTATAATGAGTTTATGAAGGAATATTTGCATAGTGTACATACTAAAGTTGTGCCGCCCAGTTGTTTCTATGTCACCCTGATTCACTTTTCAACAGAAGCTTCTGTTCCGTTAGAATTTCACATCCGAGCCGTGACTTACTGACTATTAGCACAGTTCATTTTCTTGCAAGTGCAGTTAAAATGTTTTAACCTTAAGCTAAAATAAAATAACATATATTTTTGTAATATTTTGTACAGGATCAAAACTTATTCAGACAAATTGTGTTGTTTCGGTGTCATTAGCGCAACACGAACTCGTTTCCAAGCTTAAACAACTTTGGGAAGTAATAGTCTTTAAATTTTAACCCAATGTTTCTGTCTATTTCTCGTAAGTAAATAGAAATTCGTAACTTGATTTTAATCCAAGGCCGCGGTATTGAACGCAGAGAAGTAATGTTATTGATACGCCTCTTCATAAAGTTTGGCACAATAGGAACGTTTTTTTTTCTCTCGGATGTTTGTTTTTCATGAATCACAACCGGAAAAGGGAAATCAAGCTTTAGTCTGGGAGGAAGCCAAACATTTTTCGCTTATTAAAATGGAGTTAAATTTGAAGCAATTTTATTTGCCAAAAAAGGGTTCTATTTCAAAACAAGTTTCTTTTTGTTGTAAATTATCAAGCCTTTGTTCATACAGTAATAATTTTTTATTACAATTTTATAACTGGGATGATAATAAATTGCTCAATGTGTCAAAAATATTAACTCTGTTTTATACACCCTCATAGAAAAATGTATTTCTATCTCGTATATAAACAAAAAACATTAATATCTCACTGGCACTCTCAACACGAGACAGTAATGAGACATCTACACAGAAAACAAACACTTCGAGTGAGTACTAATACTTTGATTGAGTCTAAAATTTCTATCATTATATAAATTAATTTTTCTCCATCTTACATATATTTGTATAATTTAAACAATGTTTGTACATACCAGGCCCTGAAGATGATCTCAGTAAAGATCGAAACGTTGGCGCGATAAAGACAATGTTTTTCTAAACCTACGACACACCAGACCACCATAACTATTTTATAAATTTTAAGTTCTGTTCGAAAAGGAAACATTGATTTATATTAAAACTTAGCAATTCAAGTTTTACTTCAAATAAAAGCTCACTCAGTGTTTAAGAGCAATTTACACTCTTTGCTCTCAATAAATAACAAAGTTTCGGTCATACTCGTGTCACGTGTCTGGCTTAGAGATCTAAGTTCGGAACGAGGCTTAACGACTAAGTTAGTTTGATTTCATCTAACAGGGTCTTAGCTAGCTAATCGTGCTACTTACTGTTTTTCCCACACAAGACCTTCTACACCTTAAATATAAGTTCAGAGCGATTGTTTTAGACGGATTGAGCTAAGTGGAAACATAATATTCAGAATGTTCGAAAATCAATTCTTTTATTTCTTCTCCTTTTTTTATTTTGGTCAAACGAGAATGGCTTCATTAAAGTTCAATATTTTTCTATGGTGTAAAATCAGACAGCCATCAATCAAGAGCCGAAAGTATACACGAAAAATATTTCCTCATCATAAGTTGTTTTATTCTTAAAACTCACATGCGGGATATGTTCCCATTTCAACATTTCAAAGCTTTTTACCTGTTACCCGAACATCGTTGTTATGACAGACGGAATGAATATATAATGCTTTTATCACTTTTCGACATTTTAGAGTATATTCTAAGTCGCGATTTGCATAGAATCTCTCTCGGTAAAATTAATTTTGTATATCTGTAAACCAGGCGACTAGAAATCTAAATATTTATAGCGTTAGATAAAGGTATTTAACTCCTTTTCACGAATCGATGGAAAAATAAGATTGCTACGATCTTTTTTTTTTACTTAATACTTCGCGTGATGGATTATCATCACATTTTCGATCCTGTTTACACGAACCTCATTAAAACAGTACTTAATACAGTTTGATTGCTTAATATAGTGGATTTGGCGTTTGAAACTGAAAATGAGAAATAATAATAATAATCTTAAATAAAAACGAAAGTGTTATTCATACAGAATTATTTTTCTAGCACTTATTACTTTTTGATACTTCTACTTCGTAAATTCTAAAATTTCCTTTTAAAATTAAAATATTTACAGTGTTTGGGTCTGGGTTTTTAAATGGGGTTTAAAATTACGTTATAAATTGTAGCACGGTTATTTCCTATCATTTTAGTGTCAAAGTGTAGTCAAAGAGAATCCAAAATTATGTGAATGTTGATGTTTGTGACAGTCGATTCAATAAGTATTTCCGATCAAAACAGACGATGACAACGTAGACAGTCGTACACAGGATTTAAACTGCAAAAAAATTCATCCTTGCAGTTTATGCCTCTCAAGCCGTTCCTTCATATTATTTTAAAAAAATCATCAAATCGCCTCAGGGTGTGACATGATGAAAATAAAGATACTAATGTGTTGATGGTTGGTTAATGGTCTGCAACAGTGTGCACTTTTGTTTATTGAACACCCGACTCTTGAGTAATAATTCATAAGAAAAAAACATGGTAATAAGAGCCAATTTGGATGTAAACAAACTCTTGTTCTTTAATCTATTATCCTTATTATGTAATCTATATCAAAGAACTCCTGCTTAGGAAACGACCTTTTTCCCGATAATTTGTTTTTCTCGATAACATTTTTTTCAGATTCCCTTCATAAGTGAGATCCCTTTTTACAATTTTAGTAATAATATTAAATATTAATCCATTAATATTAGTGGTCCAATTGGCCAAATTACTTATTTCAGTTAATTAATTATTCTTTTTATTTAAGGTCTTGGCTGAGATGAGAAAGCTAGTGTCACGAGCGGGATTCGGACACACGACCTTCGTTTCAATACGCCCGGACACAATCTCCCCATCTCAACCTACAACCTTTCGAATATTTTCTCTTTTTGCCATTTTTCAAATGTCGGGTAATATGGATTCAATTCTCAGAGAATTCCGGGTGGATCGAAGCCACGGTAGCTCAGAACAGCGGCGTATTGAGCCGAAGGTCGTGGGTTCGAATCTCGTTCATGACACTGACTTTTTCATCTCAACCAAGATCTTATATAAAAAGAATAATTAATTGAAATAAATAATATTAGTACTGAGCCATAGGCTTCTTTATTTTTAACATTATTCTCCAAGGGAAAAGCGGTTGTTGATATATTTCATTTAATAGAAAAAGTTTCCCCTTTATAAATTGAACAATCTTCATTTTCTTTTAGTGGTGTCTACTCGTTTTCAGTGGAGCTTGTGCTTTCTTTCAGACGACCTCCTTAAATCTTCCGTCTTTCCCGAAACTTTTTTCCCTCTCTTCGAGATTTCTTTTTCTCGTCAAAAATGTTTTTCATTTCGGTTAATCATTTGTGGGGAAAGACAGTTCCAAATAATGACATTTAGGAGGTAATTGTCTACTGCAGGTAAAGTTTGTAAACAAATTATGTTGTGTTTGTTTTATCATTTAAGGCCTAATGTTGCATGTCCTATTAACATAATAAACCCGTTTTAAATTAAGTTTAAATTGAAGATCTGTTAGGAATTGTACAATTTAGAATTTAATTTGTTAGTTTAATCAGACTTCGTTACATCCATCAATTATCTTAGCACAAAGGAGATTGAACAATTCCGCCACATTCGCATTGTGTTTGACCTATTTACTACCTTGATATATGTTCAACACTACGTTCAGTATTTCGTAAATTTTCTCCTAAAACCTTCAACCGGCAAATTAGACTATTTTTATAGGTTTTTTGTATAATTACTGCTATCAAAGTGAAAGTAAAGCGTATTGTAACATTTTAGCCAGCAGGACGGAATAAGTCAAATGTTGACTTTCCTTCTTTCCGTAACGAGCCTGTCTGAAGTATTTCTACACCGACTTTTTTCGCCTCTTGAATAACTCGAGCTGGCGTCAACTGTGTAAACAAATTGAAAAAACACGATTAACACAATAAAAAACCAAAAAGATAATGAAAATCGTGGAACATATAACGAGGTTGTATTTGTAGGTAGTAATAATTGGAAATTAATGAACATATTTGATGTAATTTCGTGTTAACAAAACAAAAAAAAATTATAAAGTATTTCTAGCCTAGGCAGAATCAGTTCATAATGTATCTATTTTTCTTATGAATAAACCGTTTTGGATGTAAATCGCCTTCTAATCGCTGGTGATGTTTGTTTCAATTTTATACGTTAACATGTCAGATAGAAATCAAATTTATGTTAAATAAACATCCTTAAATATTTTCATCCGGTTTAGGCGACTGTATAATACAGTGTATGATTCATTGAAGGACCACATACCCAATAACTTCCCAAACCAGATTATAATCAAAGTTGGTCGATAACTGAACAACCTTTTAAATATTTTCGACAATTTTCGGAGATATGCAATACTTAAAAATTGTTGTCTATCGAATATGGCCGATTGATTTGAACAAAGATGTCAAAAACTAATCCGTATTTGCTTAGTTGTCATAATTGATCATATTAATTATTCCAATTAATTATTCTTTTTATCTAAGGTTTTTGGTTGAAATGAAAAATTAGTGTGACTAGCGGGATTGGAACGCACGACCTTCGGCGTCGCTGCTCTAATCACTTAAGTTATCGTGACTTTGAAGTCACCCGAAGGTCTTAGGTTCGAATCTCGCTCGTGACATTAATTTTTCATCGCAATCAAAAATCGTAGATAGAAAGAATACTTAATTGGGATGTCAAAAACCTTTAAAAGCAACATTCAAAGTTACGCTTTGAACTGAAATCAGTGCTATCGGATTTATGACA